CACACACACACACACACACACACACACACACACACACACACACACACACACACACACACACACACACAAAACTCGAACGAGATTAAAAAAGGGCTTTAAAAGTCGCGTCGCTTTGCATAATATATTGGAGGGTATTATAACGAGGGGGTGTGCGCGAGGCTGAAATCGAAGAGTTAGTCAAAAAAGGTTTATTTTGTCGCGTGTCATCGGTGGGCGGTGATGCGCGAGCAGACACACACACACACATACACGCGCAAATTTAATCGACTGTAACATCGATGCTCTCATGGATATATAGCTGCGATTAAAAGTATGGCCACTCTGGAACCCTCTGCGCGACCTTTGACTCTTTTTTTATTTTATTTTTTTTTTTGGGCGGCATGCGTGGAATTAGCACGTCGATGACGACGATGATCGCTCGGGGCAGGTAAAAAGGGTGACTCCGCACCCTCGTAATACACTCGAAGGTACATCGCCGCGCAATAATAATAATAAAGCGACGACGGGCCGAACATGATCATCATCATCGACTCGAGCCTGTATAGGTGTACACGTCTCTCTCGCGTCTCTCGCGCCTATACCACTATACCACCGCAGCGAACAACAAAAGGCCGCTCGAATTGCACAGACACGCAGTAGTCAGTGTCATTTGTGCGCCAAAAGGACTGCAACGAGGACGATTCGGACTATACACAAAAGGAGCGAGACTAGACCGAGATAGAGGATCGCAGCCGCAGTAGTGTCGAACACGCATTAATGTATGCGCGCGGGCGGGTGTAGTTCTACTGGGCACCAGCAGCAGTAGTAGTATTATAGAGTATATACGGGGGGAAACTCGTCGTCCTGCTCGTTGTAGTCGTCGTCGGTGGTGGTGCGGCTCACCTGTGGCTAGCCCCAACGAATTCGTAGCTATAATCAAATATATATGTACCTGCGTGGGTGTCTCTCTGTGTGCTATATGTATTTGTGTATGTGCAAATGTCAGGGCAACTCTAGGCAAGAGTAGAGTAAAGAGGGAAGCCCCGCACACTATATATAGGTGTACCCTACGCAGCTCGCGCAAAGTTTCAAGCGTTGGTGGTGTGTGTATGCGTATATACGTATATATATATATAACACACAGCTCGCAGCGGTGGAGTCAGCGACCTCCTCTCGCACAGCAGCAGCACCAACAGGCAGAGAGGCAGGCAGGCAGTGGCTCATCGATCCTAGCTCTGGAGAGAGACCTCGTCGGTCGTGTACCCTCGAGCTGCTGCTGCTGCAAACGCACATGATGCGTTTCTCTCGCTCCCTTTTTTTCTCTCTCTCCCTTTTTTTCTCTCTCTCTCTCTCTCTACTCTCTATCTCGGCTTCTAAAAAGAGGCAAACGGCTAGAGAGAGAGAGAGAGAGAAAATAAGCATCGTCGACCCTCTCAACGCCGAGTCGAATTTTGACTCTGATTCTCTCCTTGACATAATACACCTCTCACAATACTCTTCTTTTTTTTTAATCTCTGTGTCTCGGTAGTATATAGTATCGGATAGGCCCCGTATGTTTCGCCGCCGCCCTTGTACATACATGTGTGACGCGCGCGCGACGACGACTTTTTACCTTTGATTCCTACTCGGATTACACATCGGCGCGTATAATATGTGCCGCTGCAACGCGAGAGGCATCGATCACGCGTTCAACTCTTATACATCATCGTACCGCGTTATAAGGGTGTATAAGGACATTATAGAAGAAGGCACGCGAAAAATGCCATCATCGTACCCTCATCCTCTATACGCATGTATAATGATGATGATGAAATAAGAAAGATGATGCCGATGAAGAGAGAGAGAGAGAGAGAGAGAGATCGCTGTTGTCGCAGCTTTCTTTTGATGTGTTTTAGCTGCTGCTCATATCGAGGGCCCACGCGATGCGGTCGTTTGTATATGAACACGCACGCAAACCTTTAAGAGAGAAAGAGCCGACCGCGGCGAGCTTTTGGAAATTCAATGCGAGCGTACGCGTGCTCGAGTCCGCGCATATACGCGCTATATACATGTATCGCGTTCGCTCCTGTGGTTATGAAAAAAATCTGCGAACAATACACACACGCATACACGCGATACACATTATACATATACACTACGCGATGCCTTTGCCATGGCGCACAAAAAAGGGAGCACCATATGAAGCGTGCGTGTGTAAGCTCGTGTTCGCGTTTCGAGGTTTTTTTTTCCTTTTTGCGCACTCTGTTCATTTTCGTTTTGGCCTTTTTTTTTTAAACCGTATATACGATATATAATAAACGTATAGAATTTCACGCACGTTATAATTTTTGCAAATTTTTTTTTTTTCACTACCCCTCGTTCGACCTCTCTGCACTCGCGTACGCGGAGTCGGAGGTAGGTATGCAAAAGCTCGGCAGCCGACGGAACGCGTAAAATATCCGTTTACAAATGACATATGCAAATGCTGGACTCGTATCAAAGGTGTGAGTGTGTGTGTTTGTGTGTGCAACGGCTGTTCATATTGACGACACACAATTTAAACATGTTTACGTGTGCGCGAATATTACTCTCAAAGTATAAAGAGAGAGAGAGAGAGAAAGAGAACAGTTCCATGTATACATTATGAAAAGGGCCTCTATACATACGAACTTTGCCTTTTCCGCGACCCATAACATCGTGCATGGCACAGCAGAGACGCAGCGCGAGGAAAGTTTCTCCTCGCTCGCGAATCTGACGAGCGAGCTCAGAGCTTTAGCTGCGGTTTGTACATATATATACGGTCAACTTTTTCACAAGTGGGATACTGCCTATATAACTACACGCGCGCGTATGGGTCCGAGAGCTTGCGAGAATAAAAAGAGAGAAAAGGGAAAAATAGGCGAGGGGGAGGAAAAGTTTAGCCCTTTTGCCAGCTTCTGCGAGCGGAGGAGTGAAACTTTGCTGAAAAAAAAGAGAGAAGAAGAAAAAAATAAAGGAAAAACTTTTAAGAGAGCGAGGGAGAGAGGAGCTCTGAACTTGAAACAAAAAGAGTTGTAAAAAAAAGGAGCAGCAACGGTAGAAGAAGAAGGAGCAGAAGAAGGAGGAAAGAAAATTCATCCACCTCTCTCTCTCTCTGGCAAACGCGAATGGATTGTGAAAAAAAAGACAGAGAGAGAGAGAGAGAGAGAGAGAGAGGAAAAAAAGTGTTAGATTTTTAACAAAGCTCGGGCTAAACGGTACCGTATAGATATATCGTGCCGCTGGCGTGTAGCAGCAGCTGGAAAAAAAGAGCGTAACGATGATAGTTGATAAAGTGCACTACCAGCAACTGCCTCTCACCCCCCCTCCTGCAGCTCGCGCGCACTCGGCTCTTCATTTACTTTTGTATTATCCGGGACTACAAAAAAAAAAAAAAAAAGAAGCAACCGTATACAGATATATATACGCTCTGTCTCCCTACCCTCTCTCCCTCTCTCGTTTAACCCGGGGCTTTTTAGCTCGGGCACATACACGCATCTCTCGTAATCATCGCACCCACACACACACACACACACCCACCCACCCACAAGTATACATAGACGCGATATATAACAGGTAAATGCGTATCGTACGCGTATACACGTATACATACACCTCTCCCGCATCGTATATACGTATGTATATGCAAGCACGCATGCGAGTCGTCGATTTGGGGGTAACCTTGGAAACCTGTTCCCGATGGAAAAAATCAATAATTTGCCGGTACGGAAGATCCGCGCGCCAACGTCGCCGCCGCCGCTGCTTATTACACTCTTGTGCATACTCATTATACTTATGGGTATAGCTACGGTATATGTACGTGTGCGCTCTGCACTCGAAACGCACCTTTGTTAGCGCGGTGCAGTAACTGCGATGCTACTAGACTAGAGCCGGCGAAATCCCCTCTTCTGTAGACCCCCTTTGTTACTCCTGGCCCACACGAGCTTTACACTAATAACTCGACTCGTTGGTGATATAATAAATAACGAATGTAATATATCGCAAGTCCTACTCTATAGTTGCCGCTCTAGAGATGGTGTAAGTGTGCTGCAATTGGGTCACGAACTTTTCCACAGGATCTAAGATTTTGCGTCACTCGTAGCTCGTAAATGATGAATAGAAATAAAAATATTTACGCATAAAAATTTTAGAAAAAATTATTAAAATTTTTATTAGCTTCAACAACGCTATATAAAAATTTACAGGTCTTATCGACTAAACTTTACATTACTTTTTACAAGAACAATATAATATACACTTGTTCATCAACCCTTCTTCGAGGCGTTCAAATCGACGCGGAACTGGCCCCTGCGCACCGCGCGGCTCATCGGCGTCACGCCCGGAGGGCCCATGTAGGGCACCGGCCCATCCGTATTAGCCGCGGCCAGTGCTCTCAAAAACGGCTGCGGAGTCTCCTGGCAGCCCAGCAGCAGATTCACGTGCCGCAGCTCGGCCTCGTTCAGCGGCGTATTCACGTAGAAGCAGCGTTTCTCCATGTCGATGCCACGCACGATGCCGAAACCGTAGCACATGCTCGGAGCCGCGTTCACCACGTACTGAGGATAGTCGCGCGACGATTGCGAGTTGTACCGTTGTTCGTTGGCGGTGTGTCGGATTTGTTCTCGGTCGAGGCCGCAGAGCGCCACGACGCTGCCGTTGATCGCGGCCAGGGTGTGGGTCGGCGACACGCTCTTGTTCAGAGCGATGCAGACCGAGTCGAACGGCACCTCGTACGGCACGATGTTGTTGATGGTTTCGGAGCTCAAGGTGCAGTAGCTGAAGAGAAAAATCAAAACGAGAATAATTAACGATCGATGCGCATCGATAAACGGGAGGATTGAAAAATCGGCTGCAAGAGTACTTACGATTTGTTGTGCCTGTCGTCGACGATTTTACTGAAATACGACAGCATGTTGAGCTCTCGCTGCTGTCTGGGTTCCATGTTCCAGGTTTCGAAGACGCGCTTACCCTCTGCCTTCGACTGTACATTGAAGTAATGATACTTGCAGTTTCTCTGGAGCACTTGGGCGACGGAAGCGTCGTTCCAACATATAGACAAGGTTTTCTGTAAAACGAAGATTATAAAATTAGGATTTTGTTTGAATACGATCGTATCAGCGATTAAATGCTTTACTTACCACTTCGTTGACGTAATCCGATGTCAACTTGTAATCGTAATTGTTCTTCGGTTTTTTGGATTCCAGCTGAATGACGCAGGTAGGTTGTACGAATTTTATGGTGAGAAGGCAGAGATCAAGTCCGATGCCTTTGCAGAATCCCATGGTATTCACGACGATGGGATATTTCGATAATTCCTTTGAACTTCTCAAGCAATCGACTAGCTTTTTTACATAATTTATGTATCTAGGGATACAATTGGAAACGTTCACTTCGTCCAAGCAGTGTTGATAATACGGGTGTTTTAAATGGGTAAAATTAGGTCCCAACAAAGGTTCCTCGATGATACTCAAAGATACGCAACCAGGATAAGTCATTTCAGCTTGGCCAGGATCTAAATCTAGAAGTATGACTTTGTCTGATGTCTGCAGATAACTGTTTATGAGATATCTGACAGTTGTGGATTTTCCAACTCCTTTTCCACCTGTGACCATCATGCACGTCTGTTCAGGTTGGACCTGTTCAGGTTGGACCTGTTCAGGTTCAGCTGAATCTGTAGTATCAGATTCAGTTTCGCACATGAATTTTGATTGAATCTCGGTACTCCAGAAAGAACCAATTGACATCTCATCAGATTTGGATAAGTTCAAGTTACTTTGTAAAACAAATTCAGCTCTTCTGAAGTCTGTCCATGAGTATTTGACCAAGTCCACTTTAGGGAATAATTTAAATGGGAAGTAGACGTTTAAAAATTTAGTCAAAGTATTTTCCAAATTTTCCAACAAAATGACAGACCATTCTTTGTCACACTCCTCTAACATTTCATGCAATGGTGTGGTTAAATTTCTGTCAACTCCTTCAGTTGTTAAAATATTCCACATGTATTCTTTGTCTTCTGGGGTGGAAGGATTTTCTGAATTACTTTTCTTTATATCTGCATTATCTGAATCACTTTTCTTTGTATCTTCATTATAGATGCTGATGGAACCATATCCTTTGGGTGAATAAATTTCTACAGGATATTCTGTATTCTTTTTATCACATTTTGCTCCGTACAAACCAACAACTCCGTACAATACTTTTAATTTTAGTTTTCCTAGAAAAGTGAATTGTGTGCAAGGACGCATTATCACAACTACTTTGTCTTTCAAACAGAAAAAGTGTATTCTGTTGTTTTGTGAATTATTAATTGGTTTATTTTCAACAGCATTTAGCCTTGGAGTTCTCGGCATTTGTTCAACAGACTCAATGATTGAATCATTTAAATTGGATGTGATAGTCTCACTAGCAGATTTTTCAGTTGCATTCTCGTCTGATTTTTTTGACACGCTTTCATTTAATTTTGTGTTGGCAACATCATGACATTTTTTTGCTGCACTTTCATCAGCTTTTTCATTTGTATTATTATTACGTTTTTTACACTTATTTTCACAACATTTTTTAGTTGGACTCCTAGAAAGTTTGTTGCATTCTTGATAGAATTTTTTCATTTCTTGAGATGAATTGTTAGAGTTTTGTTTAGTTTGTTTGTTTGCGACAACGTCAAGGTTTTGCATGAAACATTGAACTAATTCTTCTTCTGTTTTACAACCTGAATTAGCTATTTGTTGTAACATCTGATATTCTAATCCTCCTTCTTTCAAACACGGATCACTTTCTAAGAATTGTGATGGTGTTGAAAAGAAAGAAGGATAATAAGATTTTGTGGACTTTTTAAGATGAGCTTCTATAATTAATGGTTTTCCTATATCAGGAAATGTCGCAGAATTAGTCTTTGTTGGCTTTCTTGTATTATTTATACCTATGAGAACAATGGAGTAAACATTATTAGTACTTTTTTAGTAAAACATGTATAATAAGTAATCTAATAAAAAAACTTACTTTTTGTGGGCTCTTTAGATGGGCTACTTAAATTGTAATTTTTAGGAGTCCTAATCTCTACACCATCGATAATTTCAACATCCATTTCTGGTTTTTGATACTGCAGAATAAAATTATTTTAATGACATACCAACACATCATTAAATGCAAGAATAACAAGTAATAATAGTGAATTCAACGTACCAGAACTGGTTTCCCAACTACTCCTGAAGAGCTTTTTTTACTAGAAATCATTGTACCCTTCTTTTTAGCACTCGATGGTTTTCCGGGCTCCTCTTTTTTATCGATGCCTCTCATCTTTTTCAATTTAAAGGCCACGTATTTATCGGGATCGTTAGACGAACCCTGCTTTTGACTGGAACTGTCACTTCTTTTGCGTTTATTATTGCTCTTGACTTTCATGTTTTGAAATCACAATATTTACTTTTCCTCAATAAACAAAATATAATCTTCCGAGTAAACACGTGTCTACCGAAGTACGTTGGATGAACTGACCTGCACAGTACACACACGCTTTCAGGCATCCACTGTGAGGGAGGTTAAATATGACTCAATTCTGAAGCAGACGACGCGCTTTCACCTTGCTGAGTTGACTGTGTTTTGTTTTTTGGCCTTTCTGCAGTCGCGCCCTCGCGTGGAGGAAAGATGAATTGAGCGGAAATATTTAAAATTGACATTAAGTTTGTTGGATTTCGAGTATTTTCATAACAAAGGGTTCAAGGATTATTTATGAATTTTTCTTTCATACTTTTCTCGGTGCTTTTATGAAACTCCAATCACATCAGAATTTTTGCGTGAAATACATTTTTTTAAATATAATTTTCAATCACCATTAGGCCCCCAATCGCACACCTGCTTCCCATTCGTAATAAATCGACCCTATCTGACATTATAATAGTACGTTAGTACACACTACATAACACAGCCGGCGCGACACGTGCACCAGACGTGCAGTCTCGTTTTTTTACGCTACCTGACAGTCCTGCCTGCCCCCGGCACAACATTAACAAGTCCCCGATTCAAAATCTTGTTTTGATTCAGTGTATTGCGTGCTGATCGTCGCGCGTTTATCCGTGTCACGGGCGTCGTCGTCCGCGTTAAAATCCAAACAAAAGTCAGACTTTTACGATAAGTAGTAAAATAATAAAAAAAAATCTATTATCAAGATGGGCCAGCCCCTCGATCCGACCGAGCGTAACTTTTTCTATAACACCTTGTCGATACTGCTGCGGGCGGTCGAGGGTGAACGCACCACGGTGGATCTGCGTAACGAGTCCGCGATCAACGGCATTGTCGAGCAGGCCGACGGGTGAGTTCATCTTCCATTTTCGTTCGCTTTCTCCTCTTCGTTTTTTTATCGCATCTTACGTAATCAACAGGTTTATGAACATTGTTATGAAAGACTGCATTTTCACCGATCCACGTGGTGACAGCTACAAGTACGAGATATTCTTCGTTCAAGCGAGAAACATTCGCTACGTGCAGATTCCACCCCACGTAAGTATTATATTGTTATCGTCGCGCTCGCTTATCGCTTCTTCTCGGCTTAATTGCGCAATCATCGCCAGTTTTCGCACGCGGTCCATAAACATGCTGAACGATTGCCTCGTTGCTCTAACGTTGAATTCACGACCGTTATATGTAGTTGAATATCTATATTTATTTACACCCATAACCTTCAAAACAAAAGCTTTGTAATTTTCGCGAGGGTGTGTAACGAACTTAGTCAAACTTAGTCAAAGTGATTGTTCGAAATAATACAGTTTATTATTTGTTATTTTTATTTGTTATGTAAAAAAAAATCTACCTTAATTATTTGCTCATTATGAATGTCCGAAAAGTATTGTTGGCAAGCTTTAATCATTTTGCAAAGAGGAAACTGCTGACAACAACTAAAGCCTGTTCAAATTTTATAGGTGTGAGAAGATTGTCTAGTCAATTTTTAAATAGAAATCTGCAGTGCGATCCAAAGAAAATGAGTGTATTTCGATTCAGTGATTATGACTGCATAGGTTTCGATTTGGATAGCACCATTGTACGCTATCATATCACAAATCTTGTACTGCTAGAATACGATGTAATCACCACTTTCTTGATTGAAAAGAAAGGATACCATGCAAAGTACTTAAAAGAACCTCTAACTCATAGAGATATCGATTTCATTCAGAAGGGATTATTTTTTGACTTCGACAAGGGCAATATTGTCAAGCTCACTCCTAATGGTAGTGTTTACAAAGCGAGTCATGGAACCAAAATGTTAAATAATGATGAAATTGAAAAATACTATCCCAATCGCCAATGGATGTATGGGGAAATTTTCAGCAAAAACCCATTGATGACTTGGAATGGACCTTTCTCTGCAAAAATAAGAACATTGTTGGATTGTTTTGACATGCCAGCTGGTCTAGTATTTGCCAAGGTAGTTGATGCATTGGATACAGAGAATGGAGGCAAACCTTTGGATCAATATAACATTTGGCCTGATATTTTAGATGCTTTTGCTGATATGTATTCCAGAGAACAAGTACAAGGAGGAGGGGGAAATTTTTATCCAGAATTGAAAAAAAATCCTGCCAAATATATTCACAAGTGCGATCCAAGAACCTTGGAGTGGATCAAAAAGTTGAAAGAAACAAAAAAAACTTACCTGATCACAGGTTCTAATTTGGATTTTGTAGAAGTAACAACTAGTTATGCATTTGGTGAAAATTGGAAATCTTTGTTTGATGTCATAATCTGTTATGCTAAAAAACCAGCATTTTTCACTGATAACAGGCCATTCTATTCCTTAAAAAATTATTTTGAAGATGAAGTTATAACTGCAAGAGATTTGAAAACTGGCGGAATATATAATCAAGGAAATTGGAAAGAGTTGGCTCAGTTTTTTTCTAACATAACAGGTGTAGATAATCCAAAGTGCCTGTATGTTGGAGATAATATGTTGCAAGATATTTATGCTCCAAGTTGTTATGCTTCCAATTGTGACACAATGGTAATTTCTGAAGAGCAGTTAGCTGAGCGTTTGTTAAATCATGATATCACTCATCATCATGAAGATATTTTAACTTCTAAAATATGGGGATCTTTCTTTCATGTGAAAGAAAATGATGTTATCAAAGATTCTTTCTGGAATTTCATGATAAAAAAGTATTCTAAACTATGCATCCCAAAGTTGGAAATGGTAATTGACATACCACTGAATGAACCAATTAATTGTTTTACCCAAGAAGATGGCGATAAAGAGCTGAGTGGTTACCATCCAGCTAAACCTGTTACTTTGGCTAATATTTAAAAAATGATAAAAAAGAGCTATTGGTTATTGTCAGTCTTCCTATAATATTAAGGTGGTTAGTTTTTTTGCGGTATAATGAGCGAAATTTTTGATATTAAATAAGGCAAAATTTTTATCTAAATTTTTAATGTTTGCATTTCAGATACGCATAATTCCAGCTATCAAGAAACAGTTGGACAACCTCCATAAACCTCGTTTTGTACCAAAATCCAGAACATTCAAAACCATAAGAATGGAAAAGCGGCAAGCTGAAGGAGTAGCAGCCGTTCAAAACATTTTAAATAACCGGAAAAATTCACTTAAAACGACAGAAAACAAATAGTATTTCAAAAAATAGTATAAGTATTATTTATATAAAACATTTTTATTTTTATACCATTAGTTAAATTCTGTATAAAAATACTTTTTCAAAGTAGTAATACATGTGTATAAAAATTTATAAAAAGCATTGTTACAGTAAATGGACAATAGTTCAAACATTACATATTTTATACTTTTTAAATGTTATTCAATTCACAAAAACGTTATTTTCTTTTCAATCAACTTCATTAATACTTGAGTATCACGAAAAAAAACAACGTTAAAGAAAGAAAAAAGAAATTTAAAGTTTTATCATGCAAAGAACATTCTTATAATTCGCGTTAATTGTACTGCACTTGATGCATGTATAAATTTAACAATTTCAGTTTCTCAACAAATACTGTTATATATTTTAAAGTTTTTTTTCATTGGATGAAACGTTATCAATTTCAATGATATGGACTTGATTTTTTCTCTTCTTTGAAAAAATTTCTTAATTCAAAAACAATTTACAATCCATAGTTATCTCTAGTATTTTCAACGATAATACCTTATTGTCTCTTAGAAATTTTATGAAATTTAATGATCAAAATTTATGGAAGACCTCGCGAAAAAGTTTCTAAAAACTTTTAGTAGTTATGTAAGCAAAGCAAGCAAAGATCATATTTTTTTTCAAGCATTTCTCAATCTCTTTCAACAGCAATGGCTACACCCATACCACCTCCAACACACAGAGCAGCAACACCTTTTTTAGCATTTCTCCTCTCCATTGAATGCAGTAATGTTACAACAACTCTTGCTCCTAAAAATTAATAAATACATGGATTAAATTATGAATATGTACACAAAATTTAAATGCATGCATATTTGACTAACCAGAAGCTCCAATAGGATGACCAAGTGCAATAGCTCCTCCATCAACATTAACTTTTGCTTCATCTATATTAAGTCCTTTCACACAACGCACAGCTTGTGCAGCAAATGCTTCATTCAATTCATATAAATCAACTTCATCTTTATGCCATCCAGCTTTTTCCAACTAAAAACCATTTTAATTTATAGTAACAATTTCAAATAAAATAAAAAAAACAATTTTTGAATACCAACCAGTAATTTTACAGCAGGGATAGGACCTTCACCCATCATTTCGGGTAATACTCCAGCTTCAGCAATAGCAACTATTCTGGCCATAGGTTTTATTCCTTTTTCTTTGACAACTTTACCTGACATTACAACAACAGCAGCTGCACCATCATTGATACCTGAGGCATTTCCTGCAGTAACGGTACCTCCCTCCTGGAATTAATTAAAAATTTATTTTAATAAGCAACCATTTTTTGCCATATGATTAGAAAAAAATTGTATTATTATTACTTTAAAAACTGCTCTTGCTTTTGAAAGATCTTCAAAAGTTACACCGCTTTTTGGGTATTCATCTTTTGACACCAAAACTGTTTGTCTCCTGATTTTAACTTCAGTGGGGACTATTTCTTTATCGAAATGACCATTTTTTATAGACATTTCAGTGCGTTGTTGCGATTGTACTGCATATTTATCTTGATCTTCTCTTGATATTTCATATTTTTCTGCTATATTTTCAGCTGTTATTCCCATGTGAATATTACAGAAGGCATCAGTCAATCCATCGAAGAGCATTGTATCACGCATAACTGAATCTCCTGATTTACTTGCGAGTCTAATGTTAGTTGAATGAGGAGCGGCACTCATATTTTCTTGTCCACCAGCAACAACAATATCACCCTCTCCACATTTGATTGTCATATAAGCATTCATTATTGCTCTAAAATGATAAAGTTAATAAAATTATTTATTTAATTGAAACTAACAGAAGAATACTAAGCAACGAAAAAATAACATTTTAAATTGTTGAATATTAGATGGATGAATAATTTATCGCGATTTTCCTTAAAGACACATAATATCTAATTCATTAACAATTCAAAATAGATCTCCAACAAAAACTGGTATTTTACTTACTTCAGACCAGATCCACACAACATATTAACAAGATAAGCAGGAACATCTATTGGCAGACCAGCTTTTATGGAGGCTTGTCTAGCTGGATTTTGTCCCGTGCCAGCGGTGAGTGTCTGACAATAGAGAAAAGATAAGCATCGATATTGAATGAAAACGCATGAATTTTCATGAAGGTTTACAATGACATAATAGTGCATTTACCTGGCCCAAAATAACTCCGGATACCTCTTTCGGCTTGACATTTGCTCGCTTCAAGCTCTCCTTGATAACGACAGTGCCAAGTTCACTCGCTTTCAGCGTCGAAAAAGTGCCGCAGAACGAGCCTGAAAAATAAAACAACGCACGCTATAATTCAAAGTTTACACAAGTGCACCGATGGCAAATTTTTATGATTCATAAAATGTTTGTTTAAAAATAAAAAAAGAAGTCGATGCCAGGCATACGTAAGAATTACGTGGTCTGATAATATTTTGTAAGTGTAACGGAAAGAAAGTTTTATAACGCGACAATTATGCCAGTACACAACAGGTAAAAAAGTAAAAGCGAGAGAAAGGAATGCGGGTATATATTAGCGATGGGTGGCAAGACGACACGAGGACACAAATTACCGTTAATTTGGAAACGAAAAGAAGCGAATCACGTAAAACAACAAAAAAAAAGTAATCGCTAACGATTGTCAAACAAAATAAATTTACCAATTGGCGTACGACAAGCAGAGGCGATGTAAACCTGATTATCGGTCATGATGATGCGTTACAAGTATTGTCTCAAGGAGAAAAAGGACGAACAACTGCGACGAGTTAATATTGCGGAGCAGAATGCAAGGTGTATTTTACGATGTCGCAGCGACGAGGAGCAATCACTGACTGACGATTCAATGAAAAAAAAAAAGCGAATTATTAGCTTACTACAGTCCTACCCTCTCCGCGCGCGAGGCCTCGCAGAGTTTCGAGAGCAAGTAATCGAGTTAAATACACCTCGCTCGAGTATTTTATACCTAGCAGCCGACTTTCTTTTCTTCGAAATTCACACACGCTTGCGCCAATCTGCACGAGCTCTTCTGCTTCGATTTCAGGTTTTAATTTATTTAATCAGGTGCCATTCACAGTTTTAGCGATTTGCATACCGATGTACGTTGGGAAATTTTACTAGTTCGATTGAATATTTTATCGAAGAAAGTTTGGAACTCGTGATGGAGTAATTTGTCACAACAATTACATATCAATTAGACATGACATGCATTATCGCAGCAATGAAGATTGCAAAAAGAAAAAAGTTTATATCAATTGAATGAGAAAATCTATATTAAGTGATAAATTACGCACTAAACTGGCAATATGTTTGATATCGCTTATCGCGCAATCATGAAAAAATCGTCTTTTTTCCTCAACTATGAAAAAAAAAGACAGGATTCTCAATTTTGTTTTTCTACTATTATTGGATCGTTTATGAATTTTATAAAGAATTAATTTGGCGTCCGAAATGAAAAGTATAGTGTGTTTAATTGTTCATTACAAATTTTACGACGAAGAGTACAACGTTTAACTTTGCTATAAAACGCAATATAATCAAAAAATACAAACTGTAACCATCAGCGACTTTTAATTACTTTAAATTTTAAACAAATTCCAAACTCGCTCCAAAATAAACAAACAACAACACCCTGTACAGTGACCGTCACTGAGCAGTTCTAGCTTTCTGCGTGTTTTGATACATGCTTTGAAGTTTCCATTAGCTAATATGGATATAGGATACGCCAGAGGCCGACTGCTACAAAGAACTGCGCACTGTACATATACTTTTGAGCTTTAGACAGCATATCTGACATTGTACACTGTGTATACACAAGCCAGTGTATCTATTTTGGCTATTTACAGTAGTATAGGCAACTGTTGAAGGGGTCGAGAGACCATTAGGCGATGCAGCCTATTAACGATCAACGGAATTTTGACCTTTGTTGATGCAGTGGCCTATACGGTGATGAAGAAACAACCTAATGACTCGCCGTCAGTCGCTGTCCCAAAATTAATAAACTCGAGGATGTCGATCGTTTGACGCGACCACTAGAAGTCGTCTCTGCGATAATAATAAAGAAGTTGACGCGATACTTCACCTGAAATCAATCGAGTAAGTCGCCTCTCAGAACGTAAAAAGTATACGATTACAATTTTTTTCCGACCGCTGTTATTTTCTTTTTACGACGTCTGCTCGTTTGCAACTGAAATAAGGCACGTGTTTACATAAAATTAAATTACGATGGATCGCTTCCATTCGTTTTATGGCACCTGCAGAAGTTACTTCATTTTTTGGAGCTTTTTGGCTAACCAGTATTTTTTATTTTTCAGAAATGAAGCCCTCTGAGAAAAATATTGAAAAATTAGAGAGAGATGTGTCAAAACTCATTGAAAATAAACTATTTGTGGGAACATTTAAAGAGAGGCGTTATGTCGAATCATTGTCTACATACAGGTATGAAGAAATATACAAGTATCAGTTATATATAGAAAATATTTTAATAATTATGATCCTTATTTAGAGACATCGTTGTTATTGAATCCATGGATGATCTAGTTCCAAACATGTTAAAAGCCAAAAGTGCATTTGAAAAGTTTACAAATTCTCAGTGGATTGGAATAACAAGTAAGTAAATTTGATTTTTATGTGGATTCATGTATAAAAATATCTCATCATGATTCAACTTTCAGCGGATAGCAATACTGATGATTGTCTTCTGTGGGTGGAACTACCAAGTATACCTTTGGGTAAACATTGGTTTCAAATTAAAGGAGTGACATTTGAAAGTAAGGAAATACTTTTAGAACTCACTCATGTGCAACCCTTTATAAACCCAGATAGGAGTTTCAATACCACCAGTGATCCTGATTTTCCAACTTTTGACATAAAAGAGGTAATTTCTGAAGTTGTAGAGAAATTGTAAAGCACATTTTTAACTCAAAAACTGTTTATATTATTCACAGATACTGACATACAAAAATTTTTGTGAGGCTGTAAAATTCATGGCAATTGTGATAATGACTTTGTTTACACTTACTATTGAAATAATGCGATACTTAGGAGAATGGAGCATTAAATTTAGTCATGTTGTAGTCAACTTGATACATGTTTCTACACCTATATGTTTAGGTGCTTTTGAGTTTTTATCAAAATGTGTCGGTGGATTGTATTGGTTGATATTCGTTCTGGTTCGAGGTGGTCCTAATACACCTGCTGTACCAGCTGCATTGATGGCCAGTAATAAACCAAAACAAATAGGATACTATGAGCCTAATCAAAGGAAAAGATACGAGCCGCATTATCCTAATAAATTTAAAAGCTATACCCCAGGCAACCAAAATTATAGCTATGAAAAAAAAAGTTATTATTAAAATGTTTTGTAAATTTGTAACCAGAGCCAATTGATAAATTCAAAAAGATTTATACATTTATAAAGGTAAATAGTCAGAATCAATTAGAATTATTTTTTACTTGTAAATAAGCAGAAAAATATTTGAAATAAAATGAAGTCTATGTGATTTAATTTTGTACTCTTTAATATAAACATAATATCAATTATTTCCAATACACATGATGTATATTTTGAACATTCATCAAATATATTTGTAATTTTCAATAACTCAGTTCTCTAATAAATATTATGCCTTTGGAAGATGACTTCTTGTAATGACTTCAAGCAGCAACTCAAAGCTCTTGATAGATATTAAAGTTTATGAACTTGGCCCTGCTGCGATTCCAATGACGCCACAGCCCAAGCGACCACCAGCATTGCCAGTCGTCTTGGAAAGTTCATGACCACCCTTGCCCAAGTCATCGGGGTCAGCGTGAACCTACATAATCAATGCAGAAAATAAAATGCAGAATTGAATAATAAAATGATAATCTTGTTCTCGCGTCACTTACCACGACAGTTCTGCCAAGGATATTGTGAGCTCCATGAAGTTGAAGCTGCTTGTCGGTGATGTCGACCTCGGCAACGCCGTTGGTGCCAGCTTTCACGTTGCCCAAGTCACCGACGTGACGGTTGGCATCGGTAGGTGCGCCGTGCTCCTTCTTCAGGGGATTGAAATGGGGCCCGGCACTGGTGCAGCCTGTGGAATGGCACAAACGCACACATCATATACGTATCATGAATACTAAAGCACTAGTTATATAAACAACCTGTTTTTATGTATGCATGTTGCAATGCACGCGCCAATGCTTACCGTTGGTGTTGTCGCCGAATTCGTGAATGTGGAATCCGTGCAGACCCGGATTCAGGCCGGTAACCTGGCCGGTGACCTTAACCGGCTCGCTCTCGCTCTGTAATAATATAGAGAAAAAATCACATTGCATGACTAAGCACTCGGTGAAAAATCGGCATTAGACTACGCTCGATTGAGTAAAATCATGTGAAATAAAAAAATGAAAATTATGAAAAATCACTCCCTCACGTTTTGCTCGAAGTACAGAGTGCCCCTGCACTCGCCTTGGAGAACGCAAACGGCCTTGACCATGATGAACGAGAGAGTAAGAGATGGGTTTTAATATAACACCGAAAAAGTCACACAGAGACTAATAAATGTGAATCGCCGCTGCAATTGACTTCGCGATACTGCGCGATAAACCGAGAGAGGTACACTGTAGATACGTGATAATTGAACGACACAGACACACACGCACGTTACACACGGGGGTCTATGAGACTTGTGCTGAATCACCGCAAGACTTCTTCGCTTGTGTGTGTCGCGTAAAAACGCAATGTCTCTTCCTATTCGTTTATATAGATGTATGTGTGTGTATATCAATCGAGTATTATACTATATACAGGCAAAGTATATAGCGTGTATTATATACGCCGACTCGAAATTTCTGCCCTGAGTAAGTATAAGCATGTGTTGGTGCTCGTGCACGCGGTACGTGAGAGATCATATTGAAATTTCGCGAAGTTGTGCTGTCGTTTAGCGTCATCGCTAGGCGAAAGTTCATACTAAAATTTGCACATTACAGCGAAATATATCAGCACGCCGATGTGTATTTTGACCGCATCGACCGCGACATTCATGTCTGTTGTTTTTTAAATGTCAATCAAGCACTCCGACAGCGACTCCGAAATTACATACGAGCTTTACTTTTTTTACCTTGAGCTTTAATTCATGAAAACAATGTTTAGTATGAATGTAAAATACAAAGCGATGATATCAGATTGTGGGTGCCGCTACAATTTCGAAGCAACAAGCGTCCATGCTCTGCGCCCGCTATATAACTGCATAGCGTTGGTGGTGGAGGCCGGTTACCGGCGAAATGTCAGAATAAAGGGCCGGCCGAAACGCATCTGATGGCGAACCTTCGCAAATCGCAGACGCATCCTTATTTATAGGTAGGCGTCCTGTGAACGCCAACCACCGACTAGTAACCTCGAAACTCTTATATGCACTCGAATAGGGGCTTGATATTTACTTTTTTTAGCGTCGTTTATTTGGCCGAGTTTATTCTGAATTGAAGAATTAATAAAAATAAATTATTTTCTTCGATTCTAAAAGTTTTAGTACAGTTAAAAAGAGCTTAATTATGGCCAACGACGTGGTAATCGCAGAAGAAGCAGCAGCCGATCAACAATCCAAACAAGAAAATAAAGAAGAAGCTAAACAAGAAGCTACAGTAGAAACTAAAGCGGAAACTCAAGCGGAAACTAAAGTAGAAACTAAAGTAGAAACTAAAGTAGAAAATAACGAAGAAAGTAAGGAAGAAAGTAAAGAAGAAAATGCAGAAAATAAGGACGAAAATAAAGAAGAGAATAAGGAAGAAGTTAAAGTGGAGGTAAAAGAAGAAATTAAAGTGGAAGTTAAAGAGGAAATAAAGGTAAAAGTTCAGAAAACGTTGAAAGAATCTACTTCGGGAAAAGCTCATTTTGTCGCGCCGGTTGTTCCTTACAATCCCGATGGCTGGGGCCCTTGCGATTTGCCCGACCGCTTCAAAGACATGCCGTATCAGCCGTTTTCCAAAAGCGATCGCATTGGCAAGGTAAATTAAATCGTGTTTAATTTATTGTTTACTAATAATTTGCAAATTCATAAATTTTTCATTCGAATTTTTTAATTTTAGATTGCTGATTGGACTATACCAGCTAATCATGACAAGAAGTTTGCAAGTAAGTTTATCAGTTGCCTTTTTATGTTAATTGATTTACAATATTTGGTAATTTACTGTTCCGTTAGACTCAAACTTGAGTTATAGAAAGCATTGATTTACATTCTAAACTAATAGTTGAAGCATTACTCTCAAAAAGGATGCTTTTTCAATCCAACTAAATAACTATTAATTTCTTTTTTAGACAAATACAATTCTCAATTTGGTTCTGGTACTCAGTATACATATTATCATGATGAAGATGAATCTACCTTTCACCTGGTTGATAACACTCGCATTCAGAAACCTCCCTATCAACGCAGAGGTTTTGGTGGTAGAAATCAGAGATTGCGTGGCAGAGGTGGTGCTCGTAGTAGTATAAGTCAAATGCAAGCTTTAGGCAAACTCAAACTTAGGGAAAGAGAGCGTAAGGGTCAAACTAAACGTTGGGGTCCACGACAAGGCATGAGAGGCAAAAATCAAAACCCTATTAAAATTCGTGATGCATCAGTCACTGTCAAAGCTGAATGGGTTACCATTGAAGAAATGGACTTCCCAAGATTGTCAAAATTGACACTTCCTGGTGTCAAAGATCCACAAGATGTTGTCTGCTGTGGTGCCCTGGAGTACTACGACAAGACATACGACAGAGTTAATGTCAAGAATGAGAAGCCCCTGCAAAGAATCGATCGTATCTTCCATACGGTCACAACCACCGACGACCCCGTCATCCGCAAATTGTCAAAGACAGAAGGCAACGTGTATGCAACAGATGCTATTTTGGCCACTATCATGTGCAGCACACGCAGTAACTACTCGTGGGATATAGTCATCGAGAAGATTGGCAACAAGCTGTTCTTCGACAAGCGCGACAACACCGAGTTCGACTTGCTCACTGTGAACGAGACGAGTGTAGAGCCACCGCAGGACGATGGAAACTCGCTCAACTCGCCAAGAAATCTGGCCCTCGAAGCCACCTTCATCAATCACAATTTCTCGCAACAAGTCTTGAAATCCGACATGAAGTACAAATTCGACGAGCCCAATCCGTTCGTGTCGGAGGAGGAGGAAGGCGAAGTCGCCTCCGTTGCTTACAGATACCGAAAATGGGATCTGGGCAACGACATCACGCTAATTTGCCGTTGCGAACACGATGCTGTGACTCAAGGCCCCAACAACGAGACACAGTTCTTGACGATCAAGGCCCTCAACGAGTGGGACTCGAAGTTGGCCAACGGCGTCGAGTGGCGTCGCAAGCTCGACACCCAACGAGGTGCAGTCCTCGCCAACGAGCTGCGCAACAATGCCTGCAAACTGGCCAAGTGGACGGTCCAGGCTCTGCTGGCTGGCTCCGATCAGCTCAAGTTCGGATACGTGTCCAGGGCCAGTGTTCGCGACTCGAGCAAGCACGTAATCCTCGAGACCCAGCAATACAAACCCAACGAGTTCGCCAATCAGATAAACCTCAACATGGACAATGCCTGGGGCATCCTCAGGTGCATCATCGACATCTGCATGAAGCAAAAGGACGGCAAGTATCTCATCATGAAGGACCCGAACAAGCCGATGATTAGGCTCTACGACATTCCGGACAACACCTTCGACAGCGAAGGCGAGGAAGAGGACGACGACGAGGAAGACGTCAAGGATGTCTTCCAAAGCTAAATATCAATATTTTAAGAATATCAAGTATTATCTGTACCGATACTGTATTAGCATTATAGCGCGTTTTTTATACACAATTGTACATTTTTTATATTGTTTTCAACTCGAGGACTTGCACGTATACGTGTCGAAAATAGAATAAAAGGACGAATTTTTTTACATGAAAACTTTTTTAATGTTAGAAATAGATACATTTAAGAATTGTAACTTTGGCATAAAATTCTATAAATTTCTTTTATTTACAAATTTTATTTTCTCCGATGCATCTGTGCATTATTTCGAATTATACTTCAATAATAAATATACAGATTTATACAATTTATATAAAAATTATATTCGTATATCATCATTTAAAATTAGGCTTAAATTAAACTTTTCAAATATATCATTACTATTTTATAAAACTAGCAACTTTCAGGCGCGCTTCGCGCGCGTACATTTTTTAGTCAGTTTCGAAAAAGTTGCTATTTTGACCGTAGATGTCACTTTATTACGTTTCGACTCGAGTCAAAAGTCAGTCGACCAATCAGAGGCCGAATAGATTGGCTTCACTTTCAGGTCCATCATTATTTTAAGTGAGGATGGTAGTCTAAATTAAATTAAAGTATAAATTTTCGTTTATCCTACGTTATTCTCAATCGCGGCCTCTCTGTAACAGGTGGTTGGTTACATAAATATATAAATTACAGATCTTATTCTGGCTGGAGTGAATAGTAGGATTGATAAATGAAATGCATGAACACTCTAATTATTGGGTACATTAAGGGGTAATTTATTACATTCGAATCATCTTCCGAAACTCACGGATTTATGCTTAATCTTAAATATTAAATTTTAACATACAATTCATTTATTTATACGACTCGCTGTGATGTCGACAAATAATCTTTTTATCTCTCACGACGTGATTTTAAGAGCAATGCTATCAGAACCTGCCTGAAGTTATCTAATTTTTAGTTTATTGTTACGCGGACCGTGACATCTCGAAGAATGCAATCAATCTTGTCTTTCACCGCCTTAGCCATGTCTTCATCGATATCGCGATGAAACACGAATCTCGCCAGGTTGGGCGCGAGCGCCAAGCCTCTAACTAAGGTTAGATCGCGTGGATCCTCCTCGTCCCTCACCTGCTGCATCCTAGCCACAAATTTGTACGCGTCCCAGGCCTCGGTCTGGCGTACCTTCACGAACATCATGTTGGTGTGGGTGGTGGCGAGATCGACGCTAAAATCCTCGGACTGGTAATGAGCCAACGCCTCGGCGACCATCCGGCAGTTCTTGTGGTCCACGAACAGTCGCTCTTCGGCGTCTTTCAAGGCCACGAGACCGGCCGCGGCCAAAACTCCGCTCTGGCGCAAACCACCGCCGAGGACCTTTCGGGTGCGTCGGGCTCGATGGATGAATTGGGCGCTGCCGCAGAGTACCGATCCCACCGGGGCACCCAGGCCCTTGCTCAGGCACACGCTCACCGAGTCGCAGCCCTCCAGGATATCGGCCACTTTCATATCCGTGGCGACCGAAGCGTTGACGATGCGCGCCCCGTCGCAGTGCACCCTCAAATTTCTCTCCCTGGCCAAGCGCACGACGTCGGAGATCCAGGCGCGCGGCACAGCTTTGCCGTTGATGGTGTTCTCGATGGCGACGAGACGCGAGAACGGCTCGTGCAGCCAGTCGCTCTTGAGGCGCGAACCGAGCTCGCCGAGGTCGAAGGTGCCGTCCGGAAGTTGAGGTATCGCGTTGACCATGACGCCGGCGACTTGGGCGGCGCCGCCCTGCTCGTGCTGGGCGATGTGCGAGTGCTCGCCCACGTAGATCTCGCAGCCGCGAGTGTCGCAGTGCGTCATTACTGAAAAGAAGAAGGTGACCGATGAACATTTCGAAACTCGATGATCGTTACAAAATTGATCATTTAGGTCGATCCTTACCGGCTACGAGATTGCCCATGGTGCCGGACGGTACGAACAAGCCAGCTTCCATACCGGTCAAGAGGGCGACCTGACGCTCGAGTTCTGCGGTAAAAAAGAAAAAATATAGTCATCCATAAAAGATCGAAATTGGAGCGATCGGAGGCAGTACTCACCCTTGACCGTGGGATCTTCACCGTACACGTCGTCGCCGACCACGGCCTCGCTCATGGCTCTCAGCATCGCGGGCGTCGGTTTTGTCAGCGTATCGCTCCTTAAATCGACCACCTTGGCCTGCATTAGATTTTTTTTTTTAATATACATCGCTCTGACCTTTCCAAGAAACTACTAGTGGATAAAAGTGCTCGTTATATATTACTCACATTGTATTTGCCAGCGATCTCGTACACCTTCTCGCTCGGCATAGAACCGTACATGATGATGCCTGGAAGTGTCGTCGTCTACTGCTCAAACGCTGTGAGAACGGAGTATTAATATGAGAAATTTCACCGAGCCTCTACACCAATCGGTCAATCCTGTATTACTGTCGTGCGCACAGCCGCGTGGGCGGAAGTGTCCGATTTTATAAGATCATTAAGATAAATAGAAGAAATTACGATAGATAGATACACGCAGACGCACGCAAGCTCGGGTTATAATTGCGCCGTTCTCTGGGGCGCTCGACTCGAATCGAGTGCCTCTATCTCTCTATTTTGTAAAAACGAAAAAAATCCGGCCTATCTACTCCTCGACGCGCGGACGCATCGAGCGAGCAAACGAGTTATCATAGCGCGTTTTATATGAGTATTTTATTAACATTTTATATGCATAATTGCGCAACGCGTACCTGCGTTTATACCAGCCGTGCAGATGCGAGCATAAACATCGCAAAGCTGCGCTTTGTTTATCGAGGAGACCAAAACGTCTTGACGTGTATATGGGAGAGTTTTATGCGCGACGTTGATTAATCAAGGATCGATTTGTCAGTCAGCGTTCTCTTGCGTAAAGACAAATCGAGCTGTGATCCGCATAAATTTTTTTTTCTAAACACATTTTGTCGAGCTTTGCTCAAGTTTGCGGATTACTATTAATATTTAAGTGCGCGTCCTACCCGAAAGCAAATGACTCGAAAACTACAAAAACTCCAGCGTCGCGTGTACGTGTGTCGCGCGATGATCAAATCGTTCAAATTAATCAATCTCGTGAGTCGCGCAAGACGAATCCATCGCTGGTGCGTGTTTATTTAAATACTCGACGTAGTTCGTCTGTCATCGTACATGGGCAAATCCGAAAAATGTAGTTACTTCGAATAATTTCGGATAAAAAAATTCAAAAATGAATGCACAGCTTCGAACATTTCAAATTTGTTAACTCGATTTTATAAGGAGCTGACTCTTGATAATTGGGTCAAAAGGCAGATTACACCGAAAGACGAGATAAAAAAAGTCAAGCCATTTATTCCAATCTTGAAAAATTTATGACAAATTGAATTTTATCTTTTTAGCAAATAAAAATATGGACCCTCAGCTTTGTGTAATTTTCCTGGGCATAAAATAAACTATGCAACTATCAAAAATTAATTGAACTCCTTCTCGCGTTTTTTGGATTTCCCCATATAGATATACATTTGTCATCCACCAGCTCCTCCATATGGCATCAAATTAAACTACTCGTACGATTTGAAAAATTGGAATCGCAGCAAACGGTTCGGTATCGACACGGCCGCACAAATATTAAAACGGTCGCTCGTTGCATCGGTAAAGTCGCTCGCGGTATTATTTACGCTGGGCCGCGCGGTGTTTTCGTGTCGGCTCGCGACATCTGTCCGTGGCCGTCCGCGATATAATCCGTGCCAGTGATGATGCGAGGACTGTATAGGTACAAACTGTCTCGCTCGCGAATCCATAAGAGACAATTTTCGCACTACCGCAGAAGATGGAAAGAGAGAGGGAGGGAAACTGAAAAGCAAAATTACCTGTAGGGCCTACGCACGTACACACAAACACACTCTCGTGCGGCGGCTCGACTCTCGCGCAGACACTCGAATGATAATAATACGTGCGAGCGCGCCGCCCGGCTTATACCGGTGAATTTTTCACTATATAGATATTCCGAGAGAGTAAGAAAGAGATAGCGAACGTGTTTGCACATTCGTACTCACACACGCGCGCGATATCTACGTACGTTGAAAGTCGCGCGTGTGTACAAGCGTTAGACTGTATTATCCCATATTACGCATATCCCATACCGAAACGGGCAACGTAAGCGCACATTGACACGGAGCAGCGCGGGGGCTGCCCACGAGTACCATAGTAGATATATATAGTGATAATATCGCCTCGCGTGTGTATATATTAAAAATACGAAGATAAGGAGAAGAAAAGAAAAGAGAAGAGAAAAGCCATAACTCGAAAATTGGACGTCTCTAACGTCCAGAAGATATCATCGTCCATCGGAGAGTTCTGTATAAACACATCTACGTATATTTATATCGGAAAGAAGGCGCGAAAGTCACCAACGACGCAACGACGATCTTGCCATAATCTTCTACTACTCCTCCAGCGGCCAGCCGCCTAAAATTCGTGTGTATTATAACGTTTAAAAAGCGTAACAGGACGGTATTTTATATCGTTATAACGCTCACGCGTTCAACGGGCTGTACACAGAGAGGAGGTAGGAGTAAAGAAGCGATTCTGCAAAGAGCGAGGGCCCAAGACGACATTCCGAGTCTTGGTCGTCGTGCGTATGTACAGCACAAACACGCACATATATATATGCGTAATCTCCTGCTTTATGTATGTGTGTGTGTGCGATCGTCGCGTGTGTATCATTCAGAGTATAACATTATTATATAGTCGAGCGCGAACGCCTGAGCCAGTACAGTCCCGACAACGCTGGCAACAAGATCGGACGGCGGCAGCAGCAGTAGGCAGCAGCAGCGATATCAACGTACATTATAACATACGTAGTCAGCCACGCTACGTTGCAAAAAAGAAACAGAACTTTGGCACATTTTTGTGTGAATAAAAGAAGAAGGTTTTAAAAGTTGTAGGGCCGTCGATTGAAAACGAGAGCGGATCCTGGTCCCCAGAGGTTCTATGCGACACGCAGTCCATTCGCCCGTCATCCACACGCCTCTCCCGAGTTTACTATTGGTTCGGTGGATTTAATGTTGAGTTTTGTTGACCCATCACAATTGTTGTTGTGCCTTTGTTGTTAATTTTATATATTACTTGGTGTGTATTATTATCGTTGGTGCGCGATCATATATCGAATTGTGTCTTCGTGGATTATTATTATTATCGTCGTCGAAAGTGTGTTAGTGTTGAGTGCCACTCCGCATCATCCTCGAAGCAACATCGTCGAGCATATACATAATATATAATAAAAGCGGCAGCCATTCATGCGAGGACGCGAGCGTGCGTACTTTTAGGGCTAAGTGCAGGAAAAGCAAGAGAGACCGAGACGACGGCCAAGAGGTCTCTCTTCTCTCACTTACTCTCGCGGCGGCGGTGTATGTATAGCCGCTGAGCAACCAGCGAAAGATATACGAGGAGTGCAGCGGCTGAGTGCGCGAGAAAGAGAAAGAATAAGTTAGCAGCAGCGCGCGGTGGTGGCAGCGTATAAGAGAGAATAGCTGCGTCAGAGAGAGCGCGAAAGAGCCTCTACTCTGAGAGCGGTAAGAAGAACCGACTCGCATATACACACACACACACACACAGACGCATATACAACAACAACAACGCGACACATTAGCGCACCAGCTAGCCAGCAACAACACACGGAGCAGCTAGCCAGGGAAGCAACAGGGAACAGCCACCATAGGCGCGCAGCAGAGCAGCAACATAGACCAAGGAGCGAGGCACGGACGACCGCGGCGCTCAGCGATCAGTATAAACTGAGAGAAGAAGAAGATGGCGGACGAGTCGAGGGTGGACCGCTCGGACCCGGAGCTCAAGATCCTCTCGGTCGACCGCAACAACTTCAACGACCCCGCAACTCAGGCGGAATGGACCCAGAAGAAGCTGGTGTGGGTGCCTTCGGAGCAGCAGGGGTTCGTCGCCGCGTCGATCAAGGGCGAGCTCAACGACAACGAGGTCGAGGTAGAAATCGTCGAGACCGGCAAACGCGTTCACGTGGCCCGTGATGATATTCAGAAGATGAACCCTCCAAAGTTCGATAAAGCCGAGGACATGGCAGAGCTCACCTGTCTGAACGAGGCGTCGGTGCTGCACAACCTCAAGGACCGTTACTATTCGGGTCTCATTTATGTGAGTAACTGCAACTTTTTCGATGCCTTTTCGTACCTTTATTTATTATTTACGTTTAAGAACCTCGCGCGTGGGAGGATATACCTTTATCTGTGTATACACATCATCGTTGCGATCGTCTCTCACGCGCGTCATCTCAATAACCGTCGTCTCTTGAGAACAGTCTGCGAGACGACTCTCTCTTTCTCTCGCTAGTATATACGATATTTGCGGGTTGGCGCAAGACATAACCTCGAATACCTTCTCTCTCCATACAGTTTCATTGGCATTTTAGCGGTGCTGGGCTCTGTGCTCCTTCGCCCAGCACGGCTTTACCTACACATATTGTACGCACGCACACGCACACATATATATCGAATGCGGCACGGCCCCCGAAAGCCGCAACAGGTTCGCGGGATATTTGGCCCCAGCCGTGTAGCAGTGACTGTCTCTGTATGCGTGCGAGTATTATTGTGTAGTGTATACGCGCGCGGGCGGGCGTTGCCTCGCTGCTGCCGTATGCAGAAAAACCATGTTGTTGTGCTTGCGGCTTTCTTCTTCTGCTGCGGGTTGCAGGCTGCAATAGCAGCGTTGGCCCTGCTGTACCATGGACTAAAACTCGACGATCGTTCGCGCTTTGCCGGCGTACTTGCTCGAGTTATACAGTACAATATATAAACAAAAACAACAGACGTTTCGCGCGCGCGCGCGTACGGGAGCATTCGTTCAGCCTGAGAGAGCCGACGGTATACGACGACTGCACCCTTTTCTCTCTGCGCCCCGTGCTGCTGCTGCTGCAGTTCGCGCCTCGTCGTTTTTCGCGCCCTTCTTCGATGCACCGGGGACCCGGCGCGTATAAATAGTTTCGTTCGTTCCGTTTTTCGATGCCGCGCGTCAGTTTACCCAGTATTGCATAGGATATTCGTTACGGCCGATCCTGGCCTGCTATATTATGCGATATACGCGGACGAGTCTGGGCGCACATATGCCTGTTACATGCTCGTGTAGGAAAGCTATACGCTGTACGCGCGCGGCAGCTGGGCGTGCGCGCGGATTTCTATGTGTGGATGTGTGCGCGCGTCCGCCGGCCGGCTTTCGAGACTTTCCTTCCTATATCTGTATATATCTATATGGTAACATTCTGCAGCAACGCGTATTTACGTATACGCATATAACGGCAGCGCAGTCACACTTCTGTGCGGTGCATTGGCACGACCAGACGACCACACGCTCCATAAGCATTCGCCGCTTTAATATGCCTATAGCTTTTTGGCTCTATTATTATGCATTATTTGCCTTCCCTCCCCGAAATTCTCACTCTCGCGGGGTCTGTCTCTGTTACTCGCTAGGCTCGAGCACGCGCACACACAAGTGCGCACAAAGTGCATGTGCAACCACGAATTGGCGGCCGCCACTGCGTGTATACAGCTCACGGCGATGGTCAGGGCCGTTTGATATTGTCGCTCTTTGACTATTATATCAATCGTAAAGTGACAGCTCTACACGTTCGCGCGGCATGCCAGTTTTGAACTGACGCGCGTTATTTTCACTTTTTCAGTGAAAACCACGAGAGTGCGTAACGGTTTTTTAAATCGTAATAACTGTATTTTGACACGTCGGCTCGGTATACAGTTCACGCGGGAACGGACGATTTGACCGACGAAAATTTCCGTAGGAGTCGACTGAAAAAATGCACACACATACACGAGCACACACTTGCTCTCGCACATGCCGCTTGTGTGTATAACGAACGCGCTCTGCAACTTTTTTCGAGAAAACGTTACCCGCGTGAAAGAGGAGAAAAGGAAACGCTCGGCAGCTCGAAGAAATGTACGTTCACACACGTGTATGTGTCCGCATATGCTCCGTGTGCGTATTATATACTCGTGCAGGGGTAAAAAAACAAAAATTAAAATAAACGCCAAAAACCAAGTCCAGCTCCATTTTTCGTGCATACAATATACGTAGCTCTGTTGCTTTTCTCTCTTTTTCTCTGCGAGCTTTACGCCCGGCGGCGAGAGAGTCGAGATAATGCAACAACTATTGCGTTTCTTCGCGGGGTCGTCGTGTCTCCCGCATGTGCGGCGTAGCGCGTGCAAGACACGATAAGATAGAAACGCGTCCGCGCAGACCGATAGTTGCTCTGCTCTCTGCATATCATTGAGGAGGGCTCCGAAAGCGTCTCTTTCTCTCTCTCTCTCTCTCTCTTTCTCTTCTCTCTCTGCTGCTATTGTGCAAGTTCGGCCAATCTTCCGAGCTTTTTCATTCGCGTGTAGCAAGCTCCGCTTCTGCTCTCTGCTGCTGCTCTTCGTCGTCGTCGGTTCATTGAACCGGCCGTGGCGATTTCCTTTGTTTCCCCCGCGGCTGCACGGCGTCAAAGTTCTGCTGCATGCAGATTTCTTTTCCTCGGCGATCGCGCGCATGCATAATGACGTTTGGTTATAGTTATATATGCAACTTGTGAGACCTCGCGCGACAACTTGCTTATAATATAATGCGACGAGCTTCGTTTATAGACAGACACATACAGAGACGCAGACTCCGCGCACGCACGTGACAAATGTTCAATTAGCCTGACATTAATCAGCGCGAGACGCTACGCTTATAAATCAAGAGCCGCCGAGGGAGAGACGCTGCTGCTGCCTCAACGAGACGAATGGCTCTGGATAACTGTTCCGCGACAGATAATCATGCCCACACGACAACTACGACGACGAGAGAAGGGTACACATAAGCAGCAGTGCCCACTAATTAAAATGTAAATTTTGTGTCGATGCACGCATAGAGACACGACGAGCTTGCAGCAGCAGTACTTGGCCGCGATTTTTTCATTATTTTTTCATTCACATTTTTCTTTTCATTCGCGAGCAGCAGCTCGAAGCATTGAATTCGACGATTGCAAGTAGTCGTTTGAATATAAACCTAATATGCAGGCGTATGCGCAATTGTTGCTGAACGCAGCGCGTTTAAAGCGTGTATATTATTACAATGTGTATGCATAACGAAAAAGTATTGTATATTATACCCATATATAGCGGGTTTATAGACTTCCAGTCGAGCCGAGTTAGCGATAACGAAGCCGAAGCAGCACAAAGTATGCAGCGCTCCGATTACTCACTCACTTCTGTGCGCTGCGACGCTGCTATCATCGTCGGCGTATGCAGAAACGCAACAAAAAAAGCAACGAAAAAATTTGAAAAGAAAACGCAAAATCCGCGTACGCGTCGAATCATTCGGTGTACCCTCCCTCCTTTCTCCGTCTCGGAAGAAAAGCTCTCGCTCTTTCTCGCGGATACGGGGTCTGTGTACGATGCGCGTTATGTATACGTACTACATTTTTTTGATGTCGCGTTCGCGCGCGCTGGTGACTCGATCGCGCGCGAGGACGACTCATTGCAAATTTATTTGCCGCTGCTGCGGCTGAATCGATTTAGGCCATCGATCAGCAAGTTATATGGGCAACACATACACACATAACACACGTACACTAAACGCGACGTACGAGAAAAATATGCGCTGTACCGATTCGTGCATATAACACACACACACACACACACACACACACACAACTCCTATATGTTAACGTACGTATATGCATACGTGTCTGAGTCACGCGGGGCCTCCGCTCGGGCGCTGATTCAGCAGCAGCGACGTTAAGGTGCCTTATAATACAACATTGGTCTGAGTCTAAGCTTTGGTAGCTTTCACTCCTCGAGCAACAGCAGCATAAGAAGCAGCGCAGAGATCGCTGCAAAAAGCAACGAAAAAAAAAAAGAACGGCATATATTTTCGTACAATCGTACCTATATAATAAAATTATGTAAAAGAAGTAAAAAAAAAGAAGAAGAGTAGGCGCGAGTTATAGCTTGTCTTTTTTCACTTCTACTATACTAGGCCCACAAGAAAACACGTTCGTTCGTGTCTCTGTCTGTATGCGTGCGCGCGTGTGTTTATACACGCGTACATTATACGTATGTATGTAACGCGCGCGCGGCTATATGTACACAGCTTTGAATCAAAATACGAAGATATACGCACGCATGTGTCTGTAACATGTCTTAAAAAACCGAACCGAGCGTTTAAATAGCTCGGCAGTTTAGTATTATAGTAGTAGTAGTAGCAAGCGAAAAAAGCAGCAGAAGTATTAAGGCGACGCGCGCACGCACGAGTCTTGGCGCGATGAAACGTTCGCGTTCATAAAATATCTCTCTCGTCGAGATCGAGCGAAGCTCGCAAATGTATGTTTATTGCCTTAAGCTCAGCAGCAGAACATCTCTTTCTCTCCATTTTCGTTCTTCTCTGCGCGGATTTATTATTATTTATCATTATTTTTATTATTACGAGTTATATTTTTTCCTACTACTGATACTTCAGCAGCTACTGTCGACAACTCGAATCACCGCAACACACGTATCATTACGAGATACATGTCACGTTTTCAATAATAAAACATACATAAGCGCAACGGGTCAAGATAACGATATATTCGATCGATTTTTATCTCTTATATGGTACTCGAAATACAGAGAAAAGATGACCCATAGCCCGGGAAAAAAATGGTACACGACGTGTACGTAAACAACAAACGACAATAATACTGCGTGGGCGCGCATGACTCTCATATGTATATTATTACATTTTATATGGCATGGCATATGCATGCATGCGCACGATTATATATCTATCGAAAAAAGAGCGTTCAAGTGTTTATTTTATATATTCGGAGTCGATCGGAATGCTCTCTTGGACAAACACACATCGATCGCGCGTCTCAACGCTTGGGTTTTTTTCTCTTTTTTTTTACTTCTTTTTTTTTATTTCATCCGTCTTGTTCGCTCTCCTCCTAAAACAGCACCTCTCTTTCTCGGACTCATCGTTGGCCACTCTCGCGAGCCGAGAATCCTCGAGTGCCGCGCGATACACGCGTATATCTGTCACTCGATCAATCGTGCAACGGTCGGGATTTTACGCGAATCCGCGCTCGACCGAAAAATGTGTCGCCGGCGTGCTTGTGCTCCAAAATGTACATGAGGCCACATATTCATTGTTGTCGTAATCGAGGCATCTCTCGGTCGGATTGCGGGAAGGAGGAAGAGGAGGAGGAGGGGGGCACTCGCTACATATACGTGTGTATGTGCTTATCGAGCACACAGATGCGCAATCAACATTCCGCGAATTCCCAACTGTTTTTACCTCTTGGCAAATTTTTTTTTTATTTATTATTATCATTGTTATTTTTTCTTTCTTTTTTTTTTGTTAATTTTATTTTCGTCGGTTGCATCATCGTCATCATCAACCTCAATAATTAATAATGAACCGAACCGAGACTCTCTCAACGCGACATATAAGAATTAAGACTCTTAATTTAACCGAAAGCAAGAGAAGATACGATTGTATGAAAAAAGACGATGAATAGAGCAAACTGTACCAGTGCTGCTGCTGTTACTGCTGTTGGCTCATCCGATTGAGAATATCGCACCGAGCGGCGACGACCTTCGAGCCTTGCGGCTTGTATATTAGTGTACGTGTGCGTCATATCGTTCCGGGGCTTTCTACCGTATTATAATACGCGTTTACACGACGATTCCAGCAAACCCGACGAAAAGTAAGAAGAAAAAATATATCGCACGATAATTGCGGTCGATTTTTCGAGGACTTTGAAAAGAGAAGTTGCATTTATAGTCCACCTGTGGAATGTGCCGTCCGAAAGAGGCCAAACAGACACAGAGACACGCGTTTGCGGTGTATACGAGAGGGAAGCACACGCGCGCACGTGTATACCGGACCCGTCAAACTTCAGCTTACACATATACTTGTACCCCGTGGGCTGTGCAGCACAAGGTGCAAAAACCTCAAACTTCGATTCGCGTGCAAGAACTTTCCTTCCTCTCGTCCACGTACTTGTTTTCGGAACAGCTGACTCTCGCGAAAAAAAAAACCAAACAATCTCGAGTGTACATACGGTATATTGCGCAAAAAACAAAAAGCAAAAATCACTCGACTCGAGCCGCGCCGAGCTTGCAGCAGCAGCTAAGTAAGTGCCGAGCGAGCTTGAGCAATGCATTGCGCGCCGATTGTGTTGTCCGTTGCTCGACCTTGCGCACTATGGTACGGCTCTCGATTGCTTTCGTTTAAGGAGTAGTCGTTTCTCGTTCTCGCGTTTTAAAACCTGCGAAACAGGTGAGATAAGGCACGTACGTACGTACCTATATACAAACACGTATTATTACATATTATTCGTGTGCCCAAATAGGAAGAACAATATACGTATATATGTAGGTAAGCGCGCACGAAGCAATTATACAACGCGAAAGACGAAGCCCCTCGACGGCGCGATCATTACCTGTTGTGCTCACTTGGTTCGTTCGTCATCATTATAATATTATTATATTATATAGAAAGTGGATCGCTCCTCGAGAAAGCATGCGCGTCGCGTCTCTTTGTATATATAATATCGTCGTCTCTCCGTATTATATGTATATACACATTCGAGCGAGCCGAGGTGCATCCTTAAAAGGACATACCTGCGTCGTACTTCGTCCTTAACCCGCTTCTCTCTCGGATCGACTCTCTCATAGACTCGCGCGTCGCGTCTGCATATTATCGGTACCGCACATATATACATAAACAAGCCGATGATCGGTAATGGAGCCTTTTATAACGCCCATACGCGTAATTGTGCGCGGAGATAGATAGAGATTCGACCATTTAAGGTGTTGGCGCGCAGGCAAGTAGGCAGGCGCACATTATGATATACCTGCTCGTCGCGTCGTCCTCGAATTTTACGCGCTAATCTCGTGTATAAACGCGCGGTTCTTTTTTTCTTCATCCTTATACTACTCTATAATGTACTCGGGTCCGTTGGGAGAGCGTCAGAGGCAACAGAGCCAGTACTACTCCGTATGAGTCACTGCTCGTCGCCATATACATATACTACACTCTCTCAACAACGAAGAAGTCTATAGCGGTGCCCGTTAAGGCAATCCGATATTTTTCCTCTCATAGGCCACACCGCCACTACTGCTGTGTGCATTGCTGCTGCTGCTGCTGCTGCTGCTGCTGCACTGCAGCTAGCTCACGTATATATTCCTGCAGGGCGCCTACTCGCGCACTACTTACGCCCATACGCTTAGAGTCACCGCTGCCGTGTGCGTGTGTTTTTTTTCTAAATAATTGCGACGTAGTGGCGCTATCTTCTCTTCCATGCGGTCGTCGTCGTCGCCGTGCATACACACACGCATATTATATACCTGCGGTATTTTCTGCGGCGGGATCCGCGCAACGAGCTCGGCAATAATAATTGATCGCGCGGCCCGAATTATCGCGGCTCATTAATTGCTTATCTGCGGCAGACTCGCGGCGTCCGTTTGTCCCACTATAACTTGGCAAAATAGTAGTTTCTATTTTATTTAATGTTGTTTTTTTTTTGTAACGAGGCTACGTTATTACAAATACGCACGTACGTATGCGAGTTTGTTGAGTCGGCGATATAGCGCTCAGCGGCACTCTATATCACGGAGCGATGAATGGCGCAGCATTTTGTGCGTTATATATACGCTGCATATTATATATAGCCGGGGCGTCGTAGTTCTGCTGCGTCGCGCAGCCTTCGAATGCCATCTCGATGAAATGCCCTCGTACATTCAATGGAAAATCGCGAACGAGCGACAACCGAATATCCCTGTATATAGTAGAGCGAATAGAGGAGTTCTGTGCTCGCTGCTCTTGTTTTTTTTTCCTTTCCTTTCTCTCTCTCTCTCTCTCTGTCTCTCTCGGACTCTCTTATCTCGTTGCCAAGTTTTCAGAGAGCCACATCAGGAATGCTGCGCGCACGGAGATTCGAGAGAGAGAGAGGACAGGTCGTCGACCAACACATACACACGGCTCTCGTCGAGAGCCGAGCGCGCAGGCATCTATACCCGCGCGATATTATACATGCATACGTACGATATATATATATAAAGGCGTGTATACGCACGCGTTGCATTTTATATATGTGTATTATACATACATATACACGCGTGTACGGGCAGCAGTTGGGCGGCAGACGCGGACTCTTTTCTTCGCTCGCTCGTGTATGCGTTCTTACACTCGTGTGCGTGTGTGTATGGGTGACTATATACCTTCGAAGACCGGTTTTCGACGCTTCCTCCTTGTGGGCTCTCTGGAGCTCTCGAGAGCTACGTGTGTATTCCTCTCGATGTGTTGGTTATATGTATAAGATACACGCATACGCATACACACATGTATGCAACGTATCAATGCCTGCATATACGCAGCGGTATATTAACGTCTTATATATATATGCGTGTGTATGCACGTACGCACGAGCGCAACACACTCGAAAGGTCGAATTCGTCACAAGTTTATACATATAATACGCACACACGCGCTGAAAAATCCGTGCATCAGCAGCAGCAGCAGCAGTTTCGGAGTCAGCGAGCCACGTAACCCGATCCCTAGCGATTCCCGCGAGTTCATTTTTATACTCAGCATACGATTATTATGGGCTTCGAATGACCAAAAAAGTACTTCGGAGCATCTTTGCGCTTTTCGTTCATGTGTATACTACTAAATATAATTCGTATCGGCCAGCGACTCTCGGGGATTAATGATCGATTACGACTCTCCCTCTGTGTTACAATTATCATATAGTACATAAGCTCTCGATTATATCCTCCGCGACTCTATTGCATCATGATATTTAACAATAATATAAAAAAAAAAAATAAAATCAAGAGCGGATTATCGCGATTTATATATTATCGAGTGTCGCGATCTTTGCGTCGTCGTCGTCGACCGCAATATATATTATTGCAATGCGCCGCCGCAGCGGAGCAACATACGTGATTAATGCCGGCTCGAGCGATGAAAAATAGCCTCGTGTCAAAGAGACACCTTCTATAGGCGTTTTCTGCAACAATTTTGTTATATTTACATTATAATATTTATTTTTATTCCGGCCAAGCGTCCGATGTGATTCGCTCGTCGTCGTCGCCCATGCATTTACGTATATATACACTACATGCGTTTTTCTCTTTCTCTGTCTGTCTCTCTCTCTCTCTCTCTCTCTCTCTCTCTCTCTCTCTCTCTCTCGCGCGTTTAAGTGTACGAGAAATAAATTTCAAACCGGCCGATATGTGTCGCGACGCGATCTGTCTGTGTATATATATGCTCGTGTATGAGACACACACATGCACACACGAGGCTTGCTCGCTGCAGCCGCGCCCACTTGACCGGACGCGCGCGCGGACACAAAGAGTTCGCAAAATCTCAGAGAGCAGCGCCGATTTTTCCGTATTACGATCGGGCATTATTATAATTAAAATTTTCCTCGCAAACCGCCGCTGTCCCACGACCCGAGCACCGGCATAGCATGTTGTTATGGACCAAAAATATGACCGTTTAGATTTTATATACCTGCGCGCACACGCATGAAACGATGTCTCTGCCAACTACTAGTACCCGATAAGACGCGCAACTATATACACACAACCTCCGCTTTATTTGCCGCCCACTCGGCCTCTTGCGCTATCTTACACCGTCTCCGCGGCGCTGCAACCGCAGCAGCAGCAGCGAGTAAATATTTCCCTCCTATAATAACGCTTATGGGAGAGAGACTGCCGCTGCTATTTCTGATTATATTCGTAAACGCATACTCATGCACGCGAGCGCGCATACCTCTAAAGCTCCTCTCTCGCGCGTGCGAGCTTCGGCCCTAATTATAGAATGTCCCAAACTCGGCTGCATGCACCCCCTTACTGATACTTTGTATTATTATTAAGTTCGCTCTGTATATATACGACAAAGATGACGATGATGATGATGAAGATGGTTGAAACCTCTTAATAATTTTTTTTTTTTATCAATTTCTGTTGCAGACGTATTCTGGTTTGTTCTGTGTTGTAGTTAACCCATACAAGAAACTGCAAATTTACTCAGAAAAGATCATGGAAAGGTACAAAGGGATTAAGAGGCACGAAGTTCCTCCACATGTGTTCGCTATTACCGATACAGCGTATCGCTCCATGCTCCAAGGTAAGTTTTCCGAGCTTCGCACACGGCTCGACAGATCTCTTCATAATTTTGTCGTAAATACGTGTGTATCGATTGTGTAACTTTTCACGCAGATCGCGAAGACCAGTCGATCCTCTGCACGGGTGAATCTGGCGCTGGTAAAACCGAAAACACGAAGAAAGTTATCCAGTATTTGGCCTACGTAGCCGCGTCGAAGCCAAAGTCCAATGCGGTGAGTGATCTCTGCCTCTCTCTCTTACTCTCTCTACTCTTCTTGTGCACTTCTTTGTGGAAGGTACCTGAAACAGAGATATATACACCAACACACGCACACACACACACACACACACTTGGTGTGTGCAGTGCAGTATGGTGTCAGCAAACGCTCCCTTCCGAGTTCCGCGCGGTTAACAATCGCGTGTTGGTACGCACGTATACCGCCACACCTTTCCCACTTCTCCTGTGTTACTTTTTTTTTTCGTTTCTTTCCTTTTCGTCTCTCGACACACATATCCCGCACGGCCCATGATCCAATGTTATGCGCGCGCCCTGTTCTTGTATTACGTGCTCTTGGGCGCATGGATGATGACCTCGATGAACCGTTTCCAACCTCGCTCTTATCGTTTATACCGATTAATGCGTGTACCACCTCTACCTATAAATCCATCTTCCTTGACCTCCTGACGTTTGCTGAAAATATTGGTATACAGCTGTATAATCTAATTATATGTACTGTACATAAAATTGATTAGATTTGAGTAATAAAATATCGTCGATCGGAGGTAAAAGTTGAGCTAGTAAAGCTCCTTGTATAATACACGATTCCCGTGTAGAATCGAGAATCCAAATACTAATTAATTTTCCAGCACCGAGTTGTTGTGTACACACAACTTGCCAATTGTATCATAAATCACAGTAAATATTATATAGACTGCATACTATATATTGTACATGAGTAAAAGCTATTTGTCGTTTTACAAAAATTGTATACAAACATAAAGCTCGGTGAAATTTTCGTATACTCGTCTTCGCGCGTCGTTGTTGACGATCTATCGTTTGACTCGCGATCGCGCGAGTAAATCATCGTATAATAAACATAAACACACAGATATATTCGATGCTCGCGACAATGAAAGCTCTCATATATGCTAAGCTATATGCTATGTGTGTGCGCGAGAAGAAACATTAAAGCAGTTATGCAAAGCGCGACGGTACTACACGCGCAGCTGGTAATCGAGTTGCGCCTCTGCATCCACAATCAAAAGGCGCCATGCTACTACGGGGCATTAAACAGTTGCGGCACGTGCTCTCTCGCTCTCTCACATAGAGAAGAAGAGAGTAGAGCAGAGCTAATGGTTTTATGGTCGTACAGATGGGAAAAAAAATAAGGTGGCCGCTGCAATAAAAGGCCTCGAAAGAAGGCACTGTTGTTCGTGCTTTTGTTAGATCGATTAGCTTGACGATCGATCGCGCTAATTCCTTCTATTGATTTTGATTGTCGCGATGCTCGAGTGCGTGGAGCTATTTTCGTCGTCTTCGTGCAGCAGCTCGTTCGGTGTAGTTACAGCGAAAATTTTACGATATTCTAGCCGCGAGAAAGCATTAGAAGAAGAAAAAAGAAAACAAACCTCATTGTCTCGCGCTCTGCAGTCTTCCAACGATTAAAATATATACAATTGTCCGATTATGTTCCGAGTATAGAGCCTTCGATTTTATATTTCAATCAATAAGCTTGTTTCAAGTATCATAAGTTCAATCATAGAAATATTAATGAATGCGCATGATTGTGTCGCATATATAATGAAAATATAAAACGACATTTAATTAAACATGTCACGTTTTTTGCATTTTTTTTTATCTGTCTACTACTATCGGTGCACTTCGACACACAATCATGACACTGACGGACATTTATCTTCTTCTTCTTCCCTACTCAGTCTCCGAGTCCGGCATTGATAATAGTAAGTTGAAAAAAAAACAGCAATTGCTTGCTCATACATACTTATGAACGTTATTATTTCATTTTTCTCATTATTTACTTCGACATTTTCCATTTTTCTTAGTTCCGTAAGCTTCATTTCATTCTCTTTACTAAATCGCTTCAGTTTGTTTATTTAATTCAGTACTAACAATAATCTTTTCAATCGTCGTGTGAATCACAAACGATCGATTGCATCTCATGCTCTTCATTTGTTTTTTGTTTTTTGTTTCTTTTCTTTTTTTTATGTTTTTACTAAACAACTGATTAATCAATGCGTTATCTGATTCAACAATTGATATATAGCAATTGTTTTGTCACGAATGTCAATACAGTCATAGATATATAATGTTGCTATCATAACATCATAATAAATTATTAAAAACCCATAATTAAGCGTAATTAATTCATTGCTATAACACCGACTATTTTTTACACACTGTCTCTTATACAGTTGGCATAATTTGTCGTCTGGCACGCGTAATCTCTCTCTCTCTCCTCTCTTGCAACGGTACACACTACGTTTCGCGCACGCGAGAAAAGAGAGGCTGAATGTCGGCAGCTATGCCTTTTTAATTTTTTTTTATGCATACTTAATTTATAACGCTGCATATATATACATACAACACAGCGCGAACTCGATTGATACGCGTGGCAATAATAATAGTTCGCAGGTAGTATATCAACTAATGGTATGTATTTATAGCGGATGAATTTTGCGCTCGCGCGCGTGGATATAATTTACGATCGCGCGGCGTTAACATTAGCTGCACACTGCCGCACAGAGAGAGAATGTGCTTGTAATCATGCGCGAGATTATAATGTGCTCCATATGTACCTACTTTGATCGTTAGTCACAAAATTAATTGAATCATAATTGTTTAAACTGATCTCTGTTTGTTTGTTTTTTTTTATTGCTATCTTTCCCGATGCTGATTTGGATCTGTACACACGTCCATCGCTAATGCGTAATGTGTTGTCCAACCACTAATTGCTAAAAACCCCGTCGTAAAACGAAAAAAAAACATTGTAAAACGTCATCGGTCCGATCCAAATAGCCCGTCGTTGTTGGAAATGCTTTGGACAAATTAGCGGTAATTAACTAACGCCATTTAACTAGCTTGCTATATTGTGTGTGTTATACATTTTTGTACATATAATAATACAGTCGATGTTGTAATCTTTGTGGATTTCTTTTGTTTTTGATGTTTTGTATTATTTTTTCTTTGCTTTCGTGACGAACCGAAATTTGTATCTACCGAATATTTTCAGAAGTGTAAATACGTAAAGCTAACTAGGGTGTGAGCTCGTGAGCGCGACGCTGGTTCAACATCGGAAAAAAATCACGTCATCGCGAGACACCAGCAGTAGTAGTAGTATCTTTTGTTGTTTTTTTTTTTACATAAACCATAGAACAGCACGCAGTACTACTTACACACTCGGCTTTGGTGGTAAAGTAATTTTTGTCGAAAAATCTCCATGTACGTCCATGTACTCGAGGAGAACTTGAGGCTTCGTGTCTGTGCGTGGTATGGCCTTGTTGCGCGCGCGTAGTCTCTTCATCTGGACATTATTTGCACACGCAAAAGAGTCCGTGTACTTGTAAACCGCGCGCGTCGATACACACCTAATACGTGCACTAGACTTCGCCATAAAGAGAAACTAAGTAGCGTCGTTTTTCGGCCTTGACATTTGTCGTTACATGTATATTTTTTTTTTTGCTTGAAATCAGTTGATTTTTTATTCTCGTAACATCTCGGAGCTACATCATGTATCTCGCACGCCACCGTTAAAGGATATAACTGCGCGCGAAACGCAGCATTGATTCACCCACGCCAATTTTGGAGACGTTATATATTATATGTCCATATAAGATACCGATGCAAAGAGTTGAAATACTTCTAAAACTATAATGTAATTTCGCATGCTCTTGAATATTTTCTTAGCTACACCATCATGTACTTAGATGACAATCACTTCGTATATACTAACTTTGGTTTCTTGTGGCTTTTCTCTGTCTGTATATAGTTAGCTTACACATCTTCATCTTGCATCGTAAATGATACTCTCATTTTCGCACTCTTTTTTCTCCAATATACGTATTACATTTATTAATCTGAATTTCTGAATAAATAGGGCGAACTCGAACAGCAACTCTTGCAAGCCAATCCAATCCTAGAAGCATTTGGTAATGCTAAAACAGTAAAAAATGACAACTCATCGCGTTTTGTAAGTATATCACTTGCCTTATAATATAATCAACTTGATCGCAAAGAAAACGATATTTTGAACTTTTACTTTCTTTTCCAAGGGCAAATTCATTCGGATTAATTTCGATGCATCTGGATATATCGCCGGGGCCAACATCGAAACTTACCTATTGGAAAAGTCGCGCGCCATTCGCCAAGCCAAGGACGAGAGAACTTTCCACATTTTCTATCAGCTCTTGGCCGGTGCCTCCCCGGAACAGAAAAGTAAGTTGGCAAATTCGCGCGATCTTTTGAATCGAGGTACTGAACTCGGACAATCGTTTTTATCTTGCAGAAGAGTTCATACTGGAGGACCCGAAGTTGTATCCGTTTCTGTCGAACGGCGCGCTACCGGTGCCCGGCGTTGACGATGTCCTCGAATTTCACTCGACTGTCAAAGCCATGAACATAATGGGCATGACGAACGAAGACTTCCACTCCATCTTCCGCATCGTCTCCGCCGTGATGCTGTTCGGCTCGATGCAGTTCCGTCAGGAGCGCAACTCCGACCAGGCGACTCTGCCGGACAACACCGTGGCCCAGAAGATCTCCCATCTGCTGGGTCTGAACGTCACGGAAATGACGAAAGCTTTCCTCAAGCCGCGCATCAAGGTGGGCCGCGACTTCGTCACCAAGGCCCAGACCAAGGAGCAGGTCGAGTTCGCTGTCGAAGCCATCTCAAAGGCGTGCTATGAGCGACTATTCCGTTGGCTGGTCAACCGTATCAATCGTTCGCTGGATCGCACCAAACGCCAGGGTGCCAGTTTCATTGGCATACTCGATATGGCAGGTTTTGAGATTTTCGACCTGAACTCGTTCGAGCAACTCTGCATCAATTACACCAACGAGAAGCTGCAGCAGCTGTTCAATCACACGATGTTTGTCCTTGAGCAAGAGGAGTACCAGCGCGAGGGTATCGAATGGAAGTTTATCGATTTCGGATTGGATTTGCAGCCAACCATCGACCTTATCGACAAACCCATGGGCATCATGGCTCTTCTCGATGAAGAGTGTTGGTTCCCCAAAGCCACGGATAAGACATTTGTCGAAAAACTAGTTAGTGCCCACCACGTACATCCTAAATTTATGAAGACAGATTTCAGAGGCGTGGCAGACTTCGCCATCATCCATTACGCTGGCAAAGTTGATTACTCTGCCGAAAAGTGGCTAATGAAAAACATGGACCCTCTAAATGAAAATGTCGTGAGTCTGCTGCAAGCATCGCAAGATCCGTTCGTCTGCCACATCTGGAAAGATGCCGAGATCGTTGGCATGGCGCAACAGCTAACCGACACTCAGTTTGGAGCTCGCACACGCAAGGGAATGTTCCGTACAGTTTCTCAGCTCTACAAAGAACAGTTGTCCAAGCTTATGGTGACCCTAAAAAATACCAACCCGAACTTTGTTCGTTGCATCATTCCTAATCACGAAAAGCGGGCCGGTAAAATTGATGCCCCTCTTGTGCTCGACCAACTCCGTTGTAACGGCGTTTTAGAAGGAATTAGAATCTGCAGGCAAGGATTTCCAAATAGAATACCATTCCAAGAGTTTAGGCAGCGTTATGAGCTGCTCACTCCAAACGTGATTCCTAAAGGTTTCATGGACGGAAAAAAGGCCTGTGAGAACATGGTTCGTTAAAATTTTTATTCGTGCATATTTTACTTAATGTGTCATGCTTTTATTAAACTTTAATTTTTATAATTTGATTTCCAGATACAATCTTTGGAACTCGACCCGAATTTGTTCAGGGTCGGTCAATCTAAAATATTTTTCAGAGCGGGAGTATTGGCTCACCTTGAGGAGGAACGGGATTACAAGATTACCGATTTAATTGTGAACTTTCAAGCTTTCTGTCGGGGATTCTTGGCTCGCAGAAATTACCAAAAGAGACTTCAACAGCTAAATGCGATTCGAATTATCCAAAGAAATTGTGCAGCTTACCTCAAGTTACGTAACTGGCAGTGGTGGCGTTTGTATACTAAAGTAAAACCATTACTAGAAGTAACGAAACAGGAGGAAAAGCTGACACAAAAAGAAGATGAATTGAAACAAGTTCGGGAAAAGCTTGAGTCACACAAAGAAGCAGAGCGAGAATTCGAAAGAAAATATAATCAGGCTATGGAAGAAAAGACCATGCTCGCCGAGCAACTTCAAGCCGAAGTCGAGCTCTGCGCCGAAGCCGAAGAGATGCGCGCCAGATTGGCAGCGAGAAAACAAGAACTGGAAGAAATCTTGCATGATTTAGAATCAAGGGTTGAGGAAGAAGAAGAGAGAACTGCGAGTCTTATGTCGGAAAAGAAAAAACTGCAAGTTAACATCAATGATCTCGAAGAGCAGCTCGAAGAAGAAGAGGCAACGAGACAAAAATTACAACTCGAGAAGGTTCAGTGCGACGGAAAAATAAAGAAGCTTGAGGAAGATTTGGCTTTGTCCGAAGACACCAACCAGAAGTTACTCAAAGAAAAGAAACTTCTCGAAGAAAGAGCTAATGACCTTTCTCAAGCATTGGCCGAAGAAGAGGAAAAAGCCAAGCACTTGGCTAAATTGAAAACTAAGCACGAGGCTACGATCGCTGATCTCGAAGAGCGACTTCTAAAAGATCATCAACAACGTCAAGAAGTTGATCGCTCCAAGAGGAAAGTTGAGACCGAAGTTTCTGATTTGAAAGAACAATTAGCCGAAAAGAAAACACAACTCGAAGAGTTGCAGCTTCAGATGGGCAAACGCGAAGAAGAATTGACTCAGGCAATGATCAAAATCGACGAGGAGAGTGCCTTGAAAGCCCAGTCACAAAAGGCACTGCGAGAACTCGAGTCACAATTGCTCGAACTCCAGGAAGATCTCGAGGCCGAGAAACTCGCTCGTGGCAAAGCTGAGAAACTTAAACGCGATCTCAATGAGGAACTCGAAGCCCTGAAAAACGAGTTGCTCGATTCACTGGATTCGACCGCTGCCCAACAGGAATTAAGAAGCAAGCGCGAACAGGAATTGGCAACTCTGAAGAAGAACCTCGAGGAAGAGACTCAGTTACACGAAGCGACGCTGCAGGAAATTCGCCACAAGCATACGCAAGAACTCACCGGATTGAACGAACAGCTGGAGGCATTTAAGAAGACCAAAGCTGCATTGGAAAAGGCCAAGAATGGCCTGGAGGCGGAGAACGCCGAACTGACCCAGGAGTTACGATCAATCGGTGCCAGCCGTCAGGAATCAGATCGTAGACGTAAGCAAGCCGAACAACAACTTATTGAGATCAACGCCAAGCTCACGGAAGTTGATGCCAATCGACAAGAGTTGGTCGAAAGAGTAGCTAAATTACAAGCGGAAGCGGAAAATGTCATGCAACAGCTCGAGCACGCTGAGCTTAAAGCTTCGGCCGCAGTCAAGGCTTCTACAATGTGCGAGAGTCAGTTCAGTGAACTGCAACAACAGCTCGAAGAAGAAACCAAGCAGAAACTTGCTCTTAGTTCAAAACTTAGAGCTTTGGAAAGTGAAAAGGAAGCTTTAAGGGATCAATTGGACGAGGAGGAGGAGGCTAAGCGTGGATTTGAAAAGCAATTGGCTGCGCTCACTAATCAGTATGCTGAAGCTAAGAAGCGCGCCGATGAGGAAGCCGAGGCCGCAGCTGCGATTGAAGAGATAAGAAAACGCTTGGTCAAGGACATCGAAGTTCTTCAGAGACAAGTAGAAGAGCTCCAAGCTTGTAATGAGAAACTCGATAAGTCAAAAAAGAAGATTCAAGCTGAGCTTGAAGACATGACAATTGAGTTGGATTTACAGCGTTCTAAAGTGAGCGAGCTTGAAAAGAAGCAAAAGAAATTCGATCAGGTTCTAATTGACGAGAAAAACGTATCTAATCAATACGCAGAGTTGCGAGACGCTGCCGAACGCGAGGCCCGCGAAAAAGAGACCAAGGTTCTCTCGCTGACTCGCGAACTCGACGAGATGATCGTGAAGGTCGAGGAGCTGGAAAGAGGACGCAAGAGTTTGCAAGCCGAGCTTGACGAGCTGGTAAACAACCAGGGCACTGCTGACAAGAACGTTCACGAGCTCGAGAAAGCTAAGAGGCTTCTCGAGTCTAAAATTGCCGAGCAGCAGTCCCAGGTAGAAGAACTAGAAGACGAGCTGCAATGCACCGAGGATGCCAAGCTGAGGCTCGAAGTCAACATGCAAGCCATGCGCTCGCAGTTCGAGCGCGAGCTACAGGCCAAAGAGGAGCAAGCCGAAGAGAAACGTCGTGGCTTAATCAAACAGTTACGGGACCTTGAGGCTGAGCTAGGTGAGTTTAAACAGTTCTGCTGCTAATGATATCTAGATTTTACCAGAACTAAATGTCGTTTTTTTCCAGAGGATGAAAGAAAGCAACGTTCTGCTGCCATTGCTCAACGCAAAAAGATCGAAGCCGACTACAAAGATATGGAGCAACAGCTGGAGATGCACAACAAAGTCAAAGAGGACGCTCTGAAACAATTGAAAAAGTTGCAGACTCAAATTAAGGACTGCACGCGGGAAACGGAAGAAGCTCGCGTCGCCAGGGACGAATTGGCCGCGACCGCGAAAGAAGCCGAGCGCAAGATCAAGGGTCTGGAGGCCGATGTGCTGCAATTGACCGAGGACCTGACGAGTAGCGAACGCGCCAAGCGCGTTGCCGAGACCGAAAGGGACGAATTACAAGAGGAATTGAACAATAACGCTAACAAAAGCACGATTCTGCTCGATGAGAAACGCCGCCTTGATGCTAAAATAGCCACTCTTGAAGAGGAGCTCGAGGAAGAACAGTCCACTAACGAAGTAAGTTGCAAATTCCTTCAAAAAAATTTTTACGGTTGTCAGTGTAGATTGTTAACTAATGAAATTCTTTTTTTTTTTTTTTACAGGTTTTGATGGACCGGGCGAGAAAAGCACAATTAGCAATCGAACAATTAACGACAGACCTTCAAACAGAACGTTCAGCCTCACAGAAACTTGAATCACATAGAGCTCTGCTGGAGCGTCAAAATAAGGAGTTGAAAGCCAAATTGACCGAGCTCGAAACAGCACAGCGAGCCAAATCTAAGGCGACGATTCAGGCTCTCGAGAGCAAGATCAACAACCTCGAGGACCAAGTCGACACAGAAACGAAGGAAAGATTCGCCCAACAAAAGATCAACAGAAAGCTCGACAAGAGGGTGAAGGAGCTACAGCTTCAAGTCGAAGACGAGCGAAGAAACGCTGAACAGTATAAGGAACAAGTTGAAAAAGTTAACGGTAGAATGAAGAGCCTGAAGAGACAGCTTGACGAAGCCGAGGAAGAAATTAGCAGACACAAGGTCTCTAAGCGAAAGCAACAGAGAGAAATGGAGGATATGCTTGAGGCACATGAATTGCTCACGCAAGAATATACCACCCTCAAAAATAAAATGAGGTACGATTTAGGGGCATTCCGTAGTAGTCGTAGAAAAAAATACGTAGTTGAGGATGATGATGACGATGATGATGATGCTAATAATGATAAAGTAGAGTAATGATAGTTATAATAAATAAATTTTTTTTATTAAGTTTAAAAAACTTGATCTTATCAAATTCTTCTTCTTCTTCGTGTCTTTTTATACGGGTTTTTTATATGTACATATTTTCATTTCTTGCTATGGCAGTGAGGTAGATACAAAGAGTAGCAGACCTCTTGGGTCGACCTATCGTGGCCGCTGGAAGGATGAGATTATAAATGCAATGTACGTGTAGGTATCGCGTGATCCAGAAATGGCCGAGTGGTTTACATGTGTTACATTTGTTTTTTCATCCCCAATCAACAAAACCATAATAATCTCGTACAGTACTTCTCAGTCAAACTGACATTAACGTTTTGTGAAAATGCGTCTGCGAGCGTGGCCCGATGATCGTTTAGCATGTAACACAAAGGGCCCACAAGACGATTTTAACAAATGAAAAGTATTGTTTCCACTAACCCTGTACCGGTTTAGAAATCGAACAAAACTCATATATGATAAGGTGCATGCTGTCGATGACTTGTAGTGAGATTCTCTGGCTCATGGTTTTGATAGAACACAGAATACGTGATCCTGCGTTTCCGACTATTGGGCTAATTATGATTCCATATCTCTTACAGGCGTGGTGGCCAGCCAATCGGTGGATTAGGCTCGACTAGACTGAAGCGCCCGTCTATGCAGACTGGTGGATCTGGTGACGACTCAACCACGCAAGACGAAAGCATAGACGGCGAAGAAAACGCCAACTAAGGAGGCAAGAAAAAAAAGAGCGGGAAAATTTCTTGAGAATTCGCGAAGGACGACGCGCAGCAACGCATAATACAACTTTTCGATTAAAATTTACATATTTTACACGTACGCAAATGCGGGGGAAAAAACGAGAATCGTCCAGCAGCTGGAATTTTTTTATATCAAATAGGCTTCCAGGGTTATAAACTAATAAGCAGACAATTAATTCAGGGCAATAATATCCCCTTTTCAAAGTAGATATACCTAATAACGAGTCACATCATCGTGATTTTTTATGCTATAATGAATTCGTGAGCGTAAGTTTTATGAGAAAACGTTTATATTTTATTATACATAAAAAATGATTAAAAAAGAGGTGACGTACTCGGTTCGCTCTTTTATATGATGGCTAAATGATCGACGCTGCTTTATATACAGTCTTTGTTATATTCTTTACCCCATGTTTCCTCTTACCCCCTTATTTTTTACTAGAATTACATATAAATAAGGAATAATGCGTATTATACTAGTTATTTCGAGATGCCATCGCACGAGCAAGCACAAGTTATCAAACGTAACTTGTGTTATTTTTTCTTTGTCTTTTTTAAACGACGGGAGTATGAGTGAATAAGAGTGGGTAGGGATAAGAGAATTTTTATGATCATGTACATACATTTTCAATCATACCGAAAAAAAATTAAAGATTTTTGAGAGACCGTAGAACGGTTTTTTGTTGTGTATGAAGGTGGTACGCGATGAAAATTATTAAGCGTGCGTGCAAATCTCTAAGGAACGGAGGTTCTTGCTGCTATTGAGCAATAAAAAGTTTATAAACCTGTAGCACTCTTAGATAGTACTAAGACATTCATTATTATGATTATTATGTATAATTATTATGATTATTACATATTATTACTATATGATTATTGTATTATTATAATTACAGTTATGTTTATATGTTTCAGCCGTCATTGAGATTTAATTTCATTCGTATGTCTATTATAATTACGAAAAAATCTGGAAATACTATTCAGTATAAGGCGCAAACTTTATACGCGTTCGAAGCTTTGAAAAACTTGTAGACATCGTTAGAGCAATACAACAGAGGAATATGTTTTCAATAAGTCATGTACGAAATCTCTAGTTTGTCAATTGGGCTATAACTTAAGACTAGTTTTGCATTTCGGTGCTCTTTCTACTTTTTTTTGCTTGCATTGATTGAAAGAAAAAAATATGTTGATTGTTTGAACTTGTTGCTTTTCGAGCTCACGTAAAAATCACGATTTATCTTCCTGGAAAAATCCATGTGGCAATTATACTTGCAAGGTGTACTTAACGCCTTTTCGCACGGTACTTAATTTTTGATTTAAAGACTTGCTTTTTCATCCTTTTCAAAGATTTTGTGTTGTTTAGAAGCAGAAATCGGAAAGAGCGAGTAATTAACACAACGAATATATCCTTAATTTACACGTTGTAATCATGGATATAGAATTTTATAAGATAAAATGGCAAATAAAGATTAATTGATTATATTCACGCGTCAATTCTCACACGTTCGATTTTACTAAAAGCATTTTACAAGAATTTTTTTGTATTTATAAAGCATTTGCAATGTAAGATTTATTCAGCATATCGGGAAAAAAGTACGAATGAACATTAACATAAGACTAATGATAACTCGAAAGACTAGTATATTTTTTGATGAAACTAATATTATATAGAAATCGATGAATATAAGATTCATGTACGTAAAAAAACCATAACCAATTGATCTAATGTAAATTAAGCGCCTTAATGCTATTTATGTAATGTAATTCTTTGATATATTATTTACGGGAATTGTGCGTAACGTTGCCGAACCTTCGGACTCGAAGCCTCTCGACTATTAAATCGTTCATCTTTTTTGTACATATTTATATCAAATTGAGTAAAAATAATAAAAAAAAAGGTAATGTTACACTCGTTTTTCCCGATTTTAATTAGCCACTGACACCAAATGAAACAGCTCGTTGATTGATTTTGTCGACTCTACTCGATCGCTCAAAACAATCGCAAGATTTCTATCTTTTTTCGGACTAAAAAACGATGTAAGAGTACAGCACTCATCAGGCAAAACGAGTAACACATAAAGCATGTGCATCGAATTATATATGAGATATATTAACAAAAAATAAAACACGAAACACATTGGAACGATGGGAATACTTTGATATACGTTTTATTTTTTATTATACATAAATAATAAATAATTATCATTACACAATTAGGCGAAGATATCGACGAGACACGCGAGTGCACGCGCGCGCCAGATTTTACATATGACGATTGAAGATATAATAATAAAAAAAAAAGAATAAATGAAGATTATTATAATAAAGAATACAGAAAAAAAAATCAAGTTTTCAACAAAAAAATAAATATCAAAAGTGCGTTGCGTTCGTTTATTTGTTACTACTCTCTTTCTCTTCGTCTCTCTCGTCGGCTATCGCCTGCAGTCTCTGCGCCACCGCCCTGGTCTTGCAGAAATCCAGCGGCGTCTTCTCCTCCTTGTTCTTGACCGTCAGGCTCGCGCCGGCTTTAATCAGTAGGGCGGCCTCGTCGAGGCGCTCCTCCTCGCAGGCCAGGTGCAGAGGTGTGTTGCCGTAAGCGTCTTGCTTGTCTGAAGTTTGTAGAAAAATCGTTAGCCATAATCCTCCTCTTTATCCTTTATTGTACACACTTACCGATCACTATCTTATCCTCCTCGAGCAGCAGCCTAACGATCTCTGCGTTACCCTTGGACGCGGCCCGATGAAGCGGAGTCGCGCCTCGTTTGTCGGCCACATTGACGTCGGCACCCTTGGCCAGCAGCAGCACCAGGACGGCTTTCCAGTTCTTCGAGGCGGCGTACTGCAGGGCCGAGTGGCCGCCGAAGTTGCGCGCTTCAACGTTGGCGCCCTCATTCAGTAGAATTTTCACGATCTTGTCCCTGCCACTGGTCGCAGCCAGTATGAGTGGTGTGAACTTCATCTAAAATTTCGCGCGTTATGAGCGTCAAAATGCTGCGTCATATCGAGCGGCGCGAACGACGGTGGCTTATTTATAAAAATGAATTGAATCGAGCTTACGTCGTCCTCGTGATCGATGGGCGAGCCGAGCGAGATGAGATGAGTCACGATGTCCTCGTGACCTCCGAGGGCCGCCCAGTGCAGCAATAATCTGTCGTTCTGAGCTCCGAAAATTATATAGCAAATGGTAAGAGGTTAAAACACCCGCCGAGTCATCGGCTCGATTTAGAACGTCGAGCCTCTATTTTGTCCAAAAAAAGCTTACCTCGTCTGGACGTTTGTAAAGCTGATCGTCCTGCTCGAGAAGAGCTTTAAGGGTCGACGTGTGGCCGTTGTAGGCCATGTCGTAGGGTTTTTTCGTATCCTTGCTCTCGGTTTTTAACATGTTTACCGTTCTGTACGTTGTGTTTGGCAGACTGATGCCGCGGGTACTGAATGTCGTCTGCTTTTTGTGTACAAACGTTTAACCGACGTTCTCGATGCAGTGCTGCGCGTCGGTCGCTACTGTCGGCTTTTTGAACCTGCCGCCCGGCATCCCACGCGTGACAGACGATATTATAAAATCGAAATCAGATCGGTAATATACCATGCACAGTAGCAGTTTGGAATTGAAAAATACTATAGGTATAATAAATGAGTCGAATTCAAGTTTTTTTTTGTTTTTTACATTCCTCGTAATTGAGTTTTTATTTTTTATTTTTTTTACAATTAATAGAGTTAAAATTCATAACCAGTACTTAAATTCACATAAGGAACATCGTCACACACAATTTTACACATGTATATAAATCGGTATTCATATTATATATTATGACTTAAAAACGTGTATCGATTCATTTAAATTCATTTATAATAACATACGCTACAGATATAATCTATATAATAAGTGTTTTTCATTGATTTTTATACAAGAGCAAGAAAAAAAGTAATCAACAACGATCGAATTATATCGTAAATATGTACAAGATTGATTGGTTCACTTACACGATTCTATAACTTATGTAATCTTTGTAAATCTTATGTAGTGCCTTAGGTGTACCTACAGTTATACAACAAGTTGTGTGTTTTTGCTCGACTATAATCGAGACTTTTTTTAACCCGCTCGTACACGAGATAAATGCGTACGAGCAGATATTTTACATATTGTAATTAATTACGATTATAGAATAATTGATAAAAAATAATTAAAGAATGAAACTAGGCGTCACCAGGGAGGCGCGCGCCGCAGTCCATCGGATCACATTGAGAAGGCTTTGGTGCAAAGCGTAGAGAGGGGGGAGTGTATAACAATGATAATAAAATTGAAAAGTCTTGTTAAAAAATCATCATCATCACTATACATTATTATATGGGGTATAAGTCTTTGTATTTAAGGGAGTGGATGAGCCTGAGCCGAGTGTTGCGCCGCGGCAACCGCCGCAGCTTCGGCTCTCTCGTCCTTGACGACATCGGCCCAGTCCAGACTCCTGGCGACGCACTCGCGCACCGCCTGCAGCACCAGCGGCACTCGCCTGTCCAGCGCCTCGAGATGCGGCTCCCACAGAATCGGGTTCAGCGGGTCCCGGGCCATGCTCTCCCTCATGGCCTGACTCAGTCTCACCGGGCCCGTCTGGTACTTCAATAACGTCGCCAGGGTCGATCGCCTCACTATGCAGCACTGCAGCAACGGCGTCAGACAGCTGATCTCGTCGTGAAACGGTCTACCGAAGCCTCGTCCATTGTCGAGATGCAGCGTGAAGGTATCGTTGCCGAAAAGCTTGAACGTCTCGTAGTGATGTCTGTCCATGTTGCCCGTGAGAAAGTCGAATATCGACATGTCCACCAGGTCCAGTAGACGACGCGACTCGTTGTAGGGCGGCAGCTCCCTTACCATACTGCAGTAGTCCGAGTCCGTCTCCCACTGGGCCTTGATGCGCTTGTGATAGCTTCTCCTCCAGGGATGACGCCAGACCTTCCTGGGCACGAGGCTCTTGTCCGGCAGAAAGGCCGCAAAACTGCCCTCGAGTTGGTCGGGCGAGCCACACACCGCGTGACTCGTGTCGCAGTAGTACGAGCACTTGCCGTGGAAGCAGAGATTGCCCGCGGGCGAGACGAAGAACGTCTTGAGTATGTCGCCGTCCGTCACCTGGTAGATGTCGCGCGTCATGTTGAGCAGTCGGCCCGTCACGGGCATGCAGCGCCGAAAGTCCAGTAGTCTGTATAATACGAAACACAAAAGTTTTGTTATATAACAATAAATCACCGCAGCAAGAGAGATTGCGTCAAGTGGGCGACGATGACAAAAAAAAAGAAAAGAAAAGAAAAAGAAAAAAAGAGAACACTCACCTGTCCAAGTGGAAAGCAGCTATTTCGGCATTGTGACGCTCGTAGTCCGTAAAGTAAAAGTGATTAGGAAGGGTCTGCTGTTCCCGCGGAAACCTGCAGCAAAATTTTTATTCCACATTATTATGTTGTGCATATTATTTATGATAAAGCTGCTACCACTACAGGACTTTCTGTGCTGAACGTCTCGTTGGCTTCTTTTTTTTTTTATTTTCAATTTTTTGCTCTCTGTACTACGGACAAGTGCATAAACTAGCAGCCTGGGCAATTATCGCCCGCTGTAGAGCAGCAGCAGCAGCAGCAGCTTTCATCCGGTCGTCGTCCAACAACGACGACGACGAAGGCAGAGATTATTGTTACAATCGAGCGCAAAAAAGTCCGTAAATAGTAGTGGCAGTGCATACAGAGGCGCAGCAGCTACAGAGTACAAAAGCCATCGACAGCCTCGTTGTGTCGGCCGATGCACGGTATATAATAAAACGAGGCAGCGGCGATCGGTTTGGAAAAAGTGGAGGACGCACAGCAGCACAGAGAGCGAAAGAATAGAGAAGCGTAGCTTCTGCTTATAGCGAGTATTTTACGGTTTGCCCAAGAGCAGAGAGAGAGAGAGAGAGAGAAGTGCATCGTGGTGCAGTGCTCTGCTGCTCTAAGGCTTGAATCTAGCTACTACGCGGATATACCGTTACGTATATACTTGCGGAGCAGAGTCTTAGCAATCTTAACGGATTAATTGCCTCGCGCGCGCGCGTCTTTACTCGAACACACGGACGCATAAAGATATAGTAAAGAGACTTGACTTGGCTTGGCGCACATCTATCGCGGCGCAGAGCATACACACGTAGCTAATGAGCCTCTGATTACATTTTCGCGCGCGGCGGTGTATATATGTTACAACCGCGTCTCTGTCTGCTGGTGTCGCGTTCAATTTAATCGCGCGAAAAATTACCTTTTTTTCTTCCTCTTTCTTTTAACATTCGCACATAGATATACGTTATACGGTGCGAGAAGCCTGAACGAGATAATAAAATAAAGGATAGCGTTCTAGGATTTTTACGATTCGTACGGCTCGAATCTCAGCTCTCGTACTGGTATTGGTTGGATCGTTAAATCAATGAAAAAGAGAGTCCAGAAAGGAGCCTTAATAAATGAATATTTAAACTTTCTCTGTGGCGCTTCCTGTTTTTCCTATTCATTCTCTTTGGCCAAAAGGTATAAAGATCTCTTTTACCGCGAAGCTTTTTTTCTTTCTTTCTTTTTTTTTCATTAATTTTATGGCCCTCTTGGCCGAGAGAGCGATACATAAAATGTATAAAATATACAGGCACACGCCACGATTTTCTCGAGCTGTCCTCGCCTTCTTGTAATATACGAGAGAGATATAAAATTGTGCGTCGATATTTATATGTGTAATACGGTATGCGATCGTACCTCATGGGCTTGAACAGTGCCTGCACCTTGTCCGGGTAGTCCATGACTAGCTTGAGCTGCGTGCCACCTGATTTCTCGGCTGAAACATTGCAAACAACAACAAGCCGATATAGACGATGAGCTCGTTAATCGCATATGCACGCGCGTACATACAAAAATCGTGCAATAACCAGAGAGAGAGATATGCTCTTAATTGGCCGCCAGGCGTATCGAGGCGTGAATGAAAAAGAAAAAAAAAAAAAAGAAAAATATACTCACAGGCGTGCACGATGGGCTGGGTGGCCATAAAGTGTAGAAGCTCCTCGACCAGTGGCGAGTCCTTGGGGTAAAGCTCGCGCTTCCTTATCTGCACATGGAAGCGCTCGAGCAGCGTCGAGTTATGCCTGTTGCGAACAAACGAAACGAACGGTTAATAAAAAAATATTATTAAAAATCCGTAATCTAGCGTGTGCGCGATAATACATCTCACGTTCAATTAATTTCCCTTAATTAAACTTTGATAAAAGAGCATTAGGACATGTTTTGCAAAGCGCGAAATTGTCCTATCACGCTGTTTGTTGCCTGGGCGCTGCAGCTAGACCAAACGGCATACTCGTGTATGTGTCTGTGTGTGTGTTTATGTACGATACACGTGCGTGACGATCGAGGCCTATTAACGTATGCAACGGAGTGCGTAACACACGAGAGAGAGACTATTCCGCACTGCCGCTCTGGCGTTCTGCTCTGTTAACGCATTGAAAGAAAAAAAAATAAAAACTCAATTCGCCTGTAGAGAGAATCTCTGCAGGTTGTACGCGCGCGCGCAGCTACGTATTTACCTATACGTGTAGCAGTTCGTTATGATATCCCACGCTGCAGCAGCAGCAGCGGTGCAGAGTTAATTAGAGCGGCCTATAGACACACTGCCGCACGTGACGAGCTTTCGAAAGCTCGTGAGGATTTTTTGCGCGGCTTTTATACTTTGTTTATACATCGAGTATTCCGAACTCGTGCGTGTACATGGCTATATGATGCTGCTGCTGCTGCTGCTGCTGCTGCTTCCCCAGGGTCTGCCTGTGCATCGGGGCAAAAAGTTTTCATACGTATACGAGCTGCGAGCATCGCCGCGGAATGCAATAATAATGCACTGCTACTCGGCGCAAGGACGTTTATAATGGATGGTACGTGCGCGATAGTCGGTGTCACGCGCGCGCATACACGACTATAGATGCAAAAGGACCGTGCAAATCTGATAGTCGCCCGCTACTGCTGCTGCTGTAATATTCGACGCGGTCCAGGCTGGAAAAACAAACAAAAGCAACAAAGGATTATATCTGGTCTTGGCCATAGTGTCTACAGCAGCAGCAAAAGAGGCGCACGTATTTATGCACTTTATTATTTTATATATATGAAGGCGGGCGCGCAGGCGTTTGCCCCGCAGGAGAGAAGAGAAATGCACCGTTAGCGCCGCGGAGCATACTATGAATATGTACACGCGCAGCTCACTCATACACACTCTTTGGCCTGCTCTGCTCATCCTTCCTTCTTTCATTTTTTTTCCTCGCTCGTTCGTCTTTTTTTGCCTTACACATATATTACAATTGCTTTCCATATCGTACTCGCCATATATGTATCCACCTCGCGGTTCTCTTCTTCTTCGTAGTAAAAAAATAGTTCATATACATAGAGATAGAGAGAGAGAGAGAGAGAGAGAGAGAGAGAGAGATCGGATGATCGCGTGTGCGTGTCTGTATTTCAAAAGAGTCCTGCACTTGGCAGCTTAAATAGCCGCCTGTTGGCGCTAACGCGTGTGCATAGCCGTAGGAAGGAAGGAACGAACGAACGAACTCGAGCCAGCTCTCTCGCGAGAGATGTTGTTGCTGCTGCTATTCACCCATTTTCGTATATAACACAAGTTTAACTAACACGCGATCGAGCAACGGTACGCGGCGTAGAGAATATATAAATATATATGAAAAATATAGATCTCTAGTTTCTCACTAACGTAAAGTCCAGCTATATAATATACTCGATCCAGACTCGAAATAATGTAATTATCCCGATCTCTTGCTTCGATCGCAATTATTTGCTATGCTTTGGTATTTGTCTCGCAAGCTCGAGGTGCTGCCGATGCTGTTGCTGTTTATCACCCGATTCTCACCTATATTATACACACACACACAGCACTGAGAGAGAAGATATAAGAAGCGCACGAATAGAGAGCATCGGCTCTTCGATCGTGCGAGTATACATAACGGCGCATCGGAGTCGGATCCGCGTCGATTAGACACGCGACGTGGACGATATTGGGAAAATATCTTACCGAGAGAATCTAGATATATCGGTATCTCTCTATATTATAAGATAATATCGCCGCCATTCGGTGGAATGGTCATATGACGTCATTATCGCCACCATTCGGTGGAATGGTCATATGACGTCATTATCGCCGCTATTCGGTGGAATGGTCATATGACGTAATCTCTCTATATTATAAGATAATATCGCCGCCATTCGGTGGAATGGTCATATGACGTCATTATCGCCACCATTCGGTGGAATGGTCATATGACGTCATTATCGCCGCTATTCGGTGGAATGGTCATATGACGTAATTATCGCCGCCATTCGGTGGAATGGTCATATGACGTCATTACGCGGTGATCACGTGTTTCGGTCGAAAGGTCACATGACGTCATCACGTGATGATCACGTGATTCGGTCGAAAGGTCACATGACGTCATCACGTGATGATCACGTGATTCGGTCGAATGATCATATGACGTCATCACTTGATGATCACGTGATCAAAAGGTCATGTGACCTTTCTATAACGATGTCATCAAGTGACAGACCTTTTGATTATGTCACTTTGACCTTTCGATCACGTGACGATCACGTGATTACGTCACGTGACCTCTTTACCTTTCGCCATTTTAAACATTTTATTATAGTGTAACCTTGCGCGTTTTGGTACAAGAATAATTTAAATAATAGGGTCATAAATGTGATAATTATGGTTATTTTGGTTTTTTGATTACGTGATTTTAACCTTTCGTTCACGTGACGATTACGTGCTTAAGTAACGTTACGTTAAGTAACGAACCGCTTGATGATAACGTAACCTTGAGCGTTATAATTCGTTCATCATGCGATGCGTCATAACGTGATCACCACGTGATCGAAAGATCAGAGGCACATGATGATCACGTAATGAGGTCATGTAACCTTTTGCCATGTTGACCATTTGAACCTTTGACCTTTCGATCGAAATATTTGAATTTGACTTTTTGATCACGTGATTATCACGACACCTTGACCTTTTGATCAGGTGGTGATTATTATGGTGACTTTGATCCTTGACCCCTTTCGATCATCACATGATCATCACGTGACTCTGACCTTTCTATAACGCGATCATCAAGTGACTGACCTTTCTATACGTTAACATTACGTGACTTTGAACTTTCGATCACGCGACGATCACATAATTACGTCACGTGACCTTTCGTTCATTTGGTACAAAAATAATTTAAATAATAGGGTCATAAATGTGATAATTATGGTTACTTTGATTTTTTGTACAAGAACCAAAAATTATTATGGTTAATTTGGTTATTTTGGTTTCTTCCATTGTACAGACGTTCTCATCCAGTTGAAAGATTAGCATTACACTTAGAAATTAAACAAAATTTAATTTTCCCTGAAAATGAAGAAGTAGAAGCAGCCAAAAAGCCTGGTACTACTTTAACAGCGTGGTTTGATTTAAATAAAAATGATGTTCATGCTAGAAAATTCACGTACGTAAATAATTTACAAGACTATAAGTACAATAAAAAATTTTGAATTTGGGAACGGAGATCACAATTTTCAAATACATTGGGAAGAATAGTTAGTGTTGTGCCAAAAGATGTTGAACGGTTTTATTTAAAATTAATTTTACACAAAGCTAAAGGCTGCAAATCATTCGACGATTTAAGAACTTATAAGGGTATTAAATACGATACATTTAGAGAAACGGCGATTGCAATGGGATTAGTAGATAGCGATCTAGAAATAAAAAAAATATTGACGAAGCTTGTTTAATAATGATGCCGAAACAACTTAGAAAATTTTTCCCTTGGTTTATAATTATTAACAATATACCAATGATTCGAGACGTTTGGCAAACTTATAAAAAATATTTTTTGGAAGGTTTTAAAGATAATCATGAAAACAGAGCTTTGAAAGAAATAAATGATATTTTAGAATTTGAAAATTTAAGCTGTATTGATGTCGGTTTACCAGCACCGAATCTGGATTTTTTAAAAACTCTTGTTGATGAAGAAGATTTAAATAGTCAACTGGAATTTTATAAAAATGAATATCTTCTTAGATACAAAAAAATGAATTTAGATCAAAAATTAATTTTCGATTACGTAATAACACATTTACGTAACGCTGGTAAACCGACATCAATACTTCTTCATTTTCAGGGAAAATTAAATTTTGTTTATTTTCTAAGTGTAATGCTAATCTTTCAACTGGATGAGAACGTCTGTACAATGGAAGTATTATATAAAATTTTATATTATTAAACATATACTCATATGAAATTGTAAACGAGGGGGGTTGGCGCGCGAAGCGCGCAGGGGGGCTCGCCCCCCTAGTATATTTATATATAGGAGTCGACAACGGTAATCGGCCTCGATCGTGAGCTCCTACACACTGCAAATAGTTTACGTGTGCAAAAAAGCGATAATAAACAATGACTCACCCCAACTTCATCTTTTTCAATTCACCGATCGACGGATTGTCCAGTAGCTCGTCCAAGCTACTCCTCTCGGACTCGGCTAGCGAGTCCTGCTGCTGCTGCTGTTGCTCCAACGACGACGCCGTATACCTCGCGTACTTTTGCAGATCGACGAAGTCGTCCCTCGGCGGCGGTGGTTCCGTCGTGGTCGTGGTCGTGCTACTCGTACCCGTGGCGGCGGTCATCGTCGTCGTCGAGGTCTTGGAGGCCTCGTCGGACAGTTGCTGCTCGGCGGCCTCTTTGCTCGCGTTGAATCGCTGAAGGAACTTTCGCCTGTGTATATAGTAACAAAAGTGGGTTCGATATAATGGGATCGGCGCATGAAGCTGCTGCGGTTATACATAGAGCGATGCGATGCGAAAATCTCGACCACCAGCCAGCCAAGTAGTGCCGTTATGTACGTATTGGGCTGCATGGTCGATTGTGCATCATACATATAGATAGAAAATGTAGATACAGTACCTGAAGTTGTTGTAAACGGTGTCGCGCTGGGGGTCCTCGGCGGTGCGCACCCTGCCGTGGCTCGGCGCCAGGTGATGGCCGCTGTAACCGAGATCCAGCTGCAGATCCATGACGAGCAGCAGCGTGAACACGATGGCGAGGCCGGCCAGCAGCAGGAGCATCTTCTCCCGCAGTCGGACCGCGCGGCTCGCCAGCTTCATCGTTCGTTCCATCTTGGCTGCTGCTGATGATTGCTTTTGCTTATTATCTATCGCTGCGGCAGGTAATGCCTCTGCTGCTGCTGCTTCTGCTGCTGCTGCTACTGCTACTGCTACTGCTGCTACCCTCTCGCTGACGCGGCATTCCGGTGGCGGCGAGTTCTTGGCCTTGCGCGATCTTCTCGCCGCTGATGCCGATGCTTGTGTTGTTGTTGTTGTTGTCGTCGATTCGGCTTGGACCTCTGTAAAATAGATAAAGCGATCGATTCGCTCATTACTACATCGACCGACTGACTGATCTATAGAATCGCGCGCGAGCCTCTCGCGTGCTATTTTTTCGCTTTCGTTCGGGTGCCCTCCCCACAGCTGCTTACTACTACTCTCACTTTTTTTCTCCTCTGTAACTCCTTTAAAATTTTTTTCCGTTTGTCATTTAATGCGTCGAGATCTACTCGGCTGTGTGTCACCCGCTGCGCGCTTCGCGAAACGTATTTAACTTTTACGACGTCGTTCCGCGTCGCTCGACACACAGCTTATGGGTACTACTCTCGACGACGACGACGACGACGACGAGGAGGCACGAGCGCTGCTCTGCTGTTGTAAACATTATATCGATTTGTGCAATATATAGTATATAGATAAGCAAAAAAGCGCAAGTAATGCCAAAGGCGCTCTCGGCGGGCGAGGGAATTTTTCGAGCTCGATAGCGCACGACGCGCGACTTTTTTCTCGCCTTTTTTTTTTCATTTTCACATTCCATTTTTCGAAATATTATTACGTAATTATAATTGTTAAAACTTATATTACTACAATTGAGAGTTATTCAAATCGCTGTTACTGAAAAGCGGCACACGCACAAAAACGCACCTGCCTGCAGATCGGTACTCGTACGAAACGATTTGCTGCTACTATTTGGGACGACGAGCCGTGACAGCGATGTCCGGCGGCACGAAGCCGGCTCGTTGCAAATCGAACGAGTCCTTGGCGCGCTTCGTCGCTGCTGCTGTCGTTGCCGACCACCGGCGTAGCTGCAATTGACTGATGGTCGATCGCGGCCCGAGGGGCATGATGCCTCCTCCAGGCTTGTTACCGCTCAACTCTGACACAGCAGCAGCAGCAGCTGAGTCGTCGTCGTCGCAGCTAGCTAGCTAGCAGCTCCGATTACTTCAAGGAGGCACGACGGTCGTCGACTCGTTTATATAGAAATGCAGTTGCTGCGCTTTTTATGCTACGAGTGCTTTGAGCTACGTGCGAATGCGCGCGACAAAGAGAGAGAGAGAGGGCCGCATAAATCTGCAAAGCAAGATAGAGCACGTGTGTGGGTTTGGTATTTTTCCGGGAGAGACAAAAGCGGCGTTCGTTGCATATTATATATATGCGAGCACGTGCAATGTAGACGTCAACACACTCACATACGTACAGAGCGAGAGAGAGAGAAAGAAACGGGGAAAAATCAGCCGTCTCTCCCTCTTTCTCTATCCTCTTATGTGCATCGACGCGCGGTGAGAAAAGCCGATACAGTGGTATATAATTGGAACTCGCGATCGGGCGAGGAGCAAAGGTCACTATCACTGACGGCTTCTGCGATGTTTTTTCTTTTTCTCTCTTTATTTTCATTTTATTTTTCAACGCTGCGTCTATATTACGAGTTACGCAACTGCGATGATCGACTCGCGTCGCCGCGCCGACTGCATAATGGCCTTATCGGTGCAGCTGGCTGCAATTTATAATACGTGCGGCTCGTACGTATATGTATTTTATTTATAAACTCGGAGACGACTTTTTCGAAAAAGTGGCGCGCGCGATCGTTCGTCGTTCAATATTGCGAAATCCACGCGCGCGCGCGCGAGACACAAAGGTCAGCGGTGCGGTGCAGCGGTGGCATGTATGAGCAATCGTACACCGAGTAATTTATGCGCGACTAACACGCGCAGAAAAGAGTGAGGCAGTAGAGTATCGGAAGAGATGATCTTTTTGAGAGCGATATACGCACACGAGTCGAGGATTTATACGTGCCAAGTTGCGATGCGTACGCGTAATCCAAGAATCCTCGAATGGATATTATGCCCATAATGGACGCGCGAGTTACCATTTTAAGGAGGTGCGATGCATCACGTATGCGCAGATCTCCTCGGAGCTATTCAGCGAGAGAGAAGTTCACCTAAAATCGTACCAACACATATACGCACACGAGAAGTAACGAGATGGTCCCTTTCTCTCAGCTTACTTTTGAGCGCGGCCGCGAAGATTTTCATCTATACATTATATTATGTGTGCGAGAGCAGCTTACGAGCCCGTATATGCGCGTACAGACCTGGCATTGTCGGCTGATAAGGCTCGCGAACGATTCGTGCCAGGATGTTATAATATTTCGAACCGTGTGTGAGTACATATGGAACGCAAGAGCTAGCTCGAAAAGCAGCTACTTCGTTAAGCAGAAGAAAAAATGTACCGCTGCAACTATGAGTACCGATGGGACTGGCAGATTGTGAGTCTCGCGCAATGTAACATAGCAGTAATGTATAATATATGAGGCGCGATCTGCTCGGCTGGCTGCATACATGCGTGCGAGAACTGACACTTTTTTTACTGCAACAATTCTTTGTGTACGTCGCGGGTTTCCGCGCGCGTGTGTGTGGCCGCGACCATTTATAACATAACATCATCATCGTCGTAAACGTCAGACAGCGCGTCGCGCGTCTATTTTGATCATTTATTATTATAAAACCTATCGTTATAAAGGTATATACCTCTACCGAGAGTAGTATGTAAATTACGTCTCAAACGCTTGGGCGCGCGCATACACGAATGAGCTATCATCGGTGTATGTATATATTATACGTAAACATAGTATAACGTGTGTATCGAGTTTTAGGTCGTCGGCTCGCCGCGTGGCCGCGCGCGACACTTGTTGCTCGCGACTCGACCATACGCGAAACGTCAAGGTACACGCTATATAAAGCGACGAGCAACGGAGGACTACATAGCTCTTGGCCATTTATCTATCACGAATTTATTTGAAATTGATATTTTGCTCGTATTGTTTATTTTTATTGGCGCGCATCGCGCTAGCCGACAACAAGACAGATGGACTTGGACTCGGTGCAGCTCGCGGAAAGAGGCGTGATCGTTGTCGGTCTCTCGATTCGTCTTAACGATTGTCGTCTATCTGCACACGACAACGAGGCGGCGACAGTCCGGTGGCCTTTTTTCCTCGTTCTCGCGCAGAGCAGCCACACACGAGCGCGTTTTTAAATATCCGCTGCACGCAAATTTTATATTTAGAAAATATATAATCGAGAGTGCGAGCGAGAAGACAGCGGAGAAATGTAGCTACTGCAGTAGCGGTGGTAGGTCGAGATAGCGCGAGCGACGACGGACGACACCGAAAAAAAAAGAAAGAAAGAATTGAAATCTTTCTGCTATTCGAGTCGCCGATAGCGTATAATATCGTACGACTTTATTGCACAGACATTCCTACCGTTGAATTTTCGCAATAAATATGGAATTTCGCACACACGAGCTTACCTGGATACAGCGAGGATATGATCACGAGAGCACAATTGTATAATCAGTAATGATTACCGAGCTAATTATTATCACACACACACACACACACACACACACTATAGCTCACAAGTATACAATATTTTCTATGAACACACAGCAGCCACGCCGGAGCTATTCTCTGTATCTCTTCTCTATGTGCGAGTGAGCAAGAGAGAGATAGCGAGAATCACTACTCGGAGTCACACAGTAGACAGCAACAGCAGCAGACGCGCGCGACACACTGACAACAAAACGACTCAGAAAAACCGCTGGAACTATTAGGCCAACTAGTTTTCGGCGCTGTCGATTCGTAAACTCGTACGAATGTGTACAGCATTAAATTAATTCGGAGTCTGCGTAGTTTTATCAGCTCCAGCACGGACTTTCGGATATGCGATATAGAACTCGAGTAGTGTGCGCGTGTGTATCTCTCTTTCTATCTTGGTTTTTACGACTCCGCTATACTACTGTCAATTTTATGTAAGTGCGTACGAGAGAACTCGAGTAATGTAATAATAAAAAAAAACGAGGCAAAAAAAATTCGACAAGAGATTCTCGAGAGAGGAGGATATGTATAATATGTTTGTGGCTCGTAGCTCGTCCGCTCTAAAACTGTTCGAATCTCTTGCTCTATGCTCGTCGTCGTGTGTTTTTGCGGCCAGTATATATACATACATAGCATAGTGTATGCAGCATAGACCCGAGCAAGAGAAATATATATGTGCGCGCGAATTTTTTATTTTTAGCTCAGCGGTCAGCGCGCGACAATGCCTCGCACATGCCTACTACCTCGGACTACTACCTCTATATCTCGGCCGCGATTCGCTTCTCTCTCTCTCTCTTTCTCTAGATAGGCAACGTTGGTAGTGTGTGTATACCGTCCAGTTGCGAAGACGACGAAGAGTAGGTACATGGCTCGATTCGGCTGTTTTATTTACGCCTGGTGCAGTACGTATACACGTGTGTGCGCACGCACGCACTGACCCGGTAAAAAAGCTCACCGAGCAACACGATGAATACACAACATTTTTGTTTGTTTTGTATAGTGTACACTATTTAACCGACTGACAAGTCGAATGTCTCGATTGATATTGTTTGGATGATTTACGTGTAGCAACCGTCAGTACTTTTTATAAATGTGTATGGAAAATCATACGAAGTAGCTGCGAGCATTATGCATATGAGCCGGAAATGAGCAAAGCCAGTATATATTCGCGGACAGTTATAGGTCGAAGCTCGCATAAGCGCGACCTTTTAAAATTTCCGCGTCTATGTGCAGTTAAACTACGTATACCCGCGGTATCTTCGTCGTCGAGATAGATATCGCGAAAAACGTGCTCGAGCAACAATAAGCCGTGACGAATAATCGTATATTCCTTCTTCTTTCTTTTTTTTGTCTCCCCCTCTCTCCATGTGCGATATCAACATCCGTTTTCGCTGCCTAATTTGCGATGCAGCTCGCGCGCCAGAGAAAGCCCAGCGAGCAGCACCGCGCACGAAAACAGACTATATAGAGAGACAGAATGAAAAGAGCCGCTATAGTATACCTATGTTAAGGAGATACGAATCCACGTGTGCGCGCTTCCGAAAGGCCAAAGCGAAAACCTATATTTGTCCGTTCCCTATACGACGTTCGCTGCTGCACGTACCTATATAGACCACATAGACAATCGAGTGGGAGGCGGAGGAGGAGGAGGAGGATACGGCGCACGACTCAGCCGGAGCGATCAGCTCTTATACGTATGCGACAGTTCGAATACACACATACACGCAGTCGTATAGGAAACGAGGTCAATTGCGCGCCAATTGATTGACTTTGTGCCGCGACGACTACGACGACGTACGACTCCGCAGGATGATGATGATGATCTGCCGGTCTGCCGCCAGCGGATTATTACACCGCTTGTCACGTGTAGATCAGGTCTATCTGGCGCAAAGGTAATTTTCGTCGACGTCGTCATCGTGGTCACCCGTCGAGAGCCTCGGCCGTGTCATCGTCGTCGTCCTTTCGACAAGATCGTCGCTCGTGTGGAGCTCCTATAGGCAACATCAGGCCTTATGTGCATGCAATTACTCGGATCCTAACGTGTAGCATGTACATGCTGCACTCCTCCTCTTGCGGGAGCTGGGACGCGTGCGTTTATATTACATATACCTGTACGCGCGCGCGTTCGGTTCGGTAGTCGCCCAGGCTGAATTCGATATTATTATATACGCTCGTATATATAGACTCCGTAATATGGACCTGCTGCAGCACCTACATATAATGATATACTCTTGAACTGGATATCTCGTGCCTATGTAGTATGAGCTCTCTATATAACACGACGCACCGGCCCATAGTGTGTGTGTGTGTCCATGTGTAGGAACGTAAACATTTTCACTCCATAGAGCAGCACACGATATCCACCTATACGTTATACCCTGTTTATACACGGGCTAACGGCTACGGAGTAGCTCATAGAGATCAAGCTTGTTCGCTGGATATGTATATGCAGCTATACATGGCAATGATGCATCTGCAGCCGCGCGGACTATGCACTTGTACGTACACGATACACGTCTTGTCCGTCGCGTATATACGTGTATACACGTATAAAAAGTAGGAGGAGGTGGAGGAATATACGATATCACGCGTGTGTAGATGCATATGTGTGTGCTTCGCGAGCTTGTTTAACCGACTTTTCCGAATTC